GATAAATAAACCATGTATTTCTGTGGCAGAATCTTCATGTGTATTTTTATTTAAATAAATCCTTTCATATCTAACAGATTCTGTGGAAGGCCACAGCCCCTCCAGTCCAAAATTCCAAGTGAGCAGGGTATCATTCCTTATGGTAGGTAGTTGTGGGTTCGATCCTTGGTCAGGGTACATACACGGGAGGCAACTAATAGATGTTTCTCATTTCCATGTCTCTCCCCTTTCCTCTTTATAAAATCTATAAAAACATATCATTGGGTGAGAATAAAAAAAAAAAAGATATAGTGAAGTGCAGGGAACGGAACCTTGAGAGCAAGGTTTGGATGCCTAGAGTGTTGGAATCCCCAGGCAAGCCTCCTGGGCACATTCATTTGCTTTACATTTCGGCTTTTCCCAAGGGACTCCTTTGAGAGAGGGATGATCCAATGTCTGTCACCAAGTTAATCAACAAGATGCTGACACAACTAGGGCATGTATGTGATTTTCACGTTTCACATGAGATAGCATTAAAATTCTGTATGTCATACAACTTACAACCTGCAACCAATTCCATCCCTTGCTCCATGGCTCCACTTTGTTCTCTTGAATTGCGCATAATATTTCAAAACATTTTCTAAGCCTCTAAGTACTTAGAAAGTAAGTACTAAGTACTTACTTACTAAGTACTTACTTTCTTAGTAAATACTAAGTACTTACTTTCTAAGGTCAAAAGTACTTATTTTCAACAGATACTGGTTGAGTGCTGCCCTCCCCAGACTCTTCAGACACAGAGCTCATGGCTGCTATATCACATTCAGTCATTCCCACAATCTGATCATGGCACTTTTGGCTTCTCCAAGCCAGGAAAACATCCAGGGTTAAAGAATTTAATCTGGGTGCTGCTGCCTTCCCACCATGTGAGTTGAAGCCTTTCCTAGAGAGACGGAACAGTTCTCCAAGTAGAAGGTCAGCAGCTCCTCCAAGTCCTAATGATTTTCTTGGGGTATGGCTTCCCCACGGTTCCCAGCACTGGCTAGTGAAGTCCACAGCCATGTCCTCAAATGAGATCACTTCATCCTGAAATGTCACATTTATTTGTTGTGAGAAGTTCACTAAAGATGAGCGGACTGCTTTCCCATCTGTGGCAGTTTCAAACATGGCCACAAATTCTTTGCCATTCCTCCCTAGTAATTAGGCTTGTTTCAGTCAGTAGTGTCAATATTAGGCCATGTGACTTCCAACACGGAGATGAGGTCCTAAAGAATGATGTGGCTCCATCTTTGCTGGAACACTTCCTTATCTCTGGGATGGCTCCCATGACTATCTGTTCATGTCCTAATTCCTCTCATAGCTCTCACTGCCCTGGCATCTCCAATGGAATTACAGTTCCTGGCTGGAACATGAGCCCCACGTGTGTAGGGATTTGGTTTGACTGTTCACTATTCTCCCCTTAAAAATGTTTGCTGCAGCCCTGACTGGTGTGGCTTAGTGCGCTGGGCATTGTCCTGCAAACTGAAAGATCACTGGTTTGATTCCTGGTCAGTGCACACGCCTGGATTTCGGGCCAGGCCCCCAGTTGTGGGGCATGCAAGAGGCAAACTGATAGATGTTTCTCTCCCTCTCCCAACCTTCCCCTTTCTCTAAAAAAAAAATAAAATCTTTTTAAAAAGGAAAAAATGTTCGCTGCATATATTAAACTGATCTCCCTTCCCAGGATGACCATACCCAAGCCCCAGAATTCCATGATGTCCGTACCTCTCATGGTCAGTGAAAGATCATCCCATTTTTACTCTAGAATCACCCCAGGAACTGTAGATGATCAACTAAATTAAATATCACCAACCCTCAAAGCAAGAAAGAGGTCCCTCTTTCTGAGGGAAAGAGGAACCCAATCTGAGGCTCCCATCAGATTCCTGATATCAAGGCTATCTTGATTTGGTGCTAGCTAGTTTTTTATGCTCTCTCATGTTTTGCTAGTAATCCTTTTAAACAAAAAGAACAGGCTTTCATGGCCCTGGCTGGTGTAGCTCAGTGGATTGAGCACGGGCCTGCAAACCAAAAGATCGTGGTTCGATTCACAGTCAGGGCACATATCTGGGTTGCAGGCCAGTTCCCAGCAGGGGATGCACCAGAAGCAACCATACATTGATATTTCTCTCCTCTTCCCTTCTAAAGATAAATTAAAAAAAAAAAAAACAGGCTTTCAGAGGCAACAATATCTAGCTAAAATTAAAGCAATATTGTTTTGTTTCAACCAAATATATTTATTTAACTTATGTTTATTTCTACAAAAATGAAGACCCCTTTAAAAGTAGGTTGGAGGGTTTTTTGTTTTGTTTTTTTAACATTCATTCTTTAGAGAGGAGACAAGAGGGAGAAAGGAAACATCAATGTGTGGTTGGTTGTCTCTGGAGCGCCACCTACTGGGGACCTGGCCCAAAACGGAAGCATATTCCCTGACTGGGAATTGGAACTAGTGGCCCTTTGCTTTATAGGCCAGCACTCAATCCACTGGCCTACACCAGCCAAGGTTCCTTTTACTTTATTTGTTGAAACCAGGCAAATTTCTACCAATGGATTTACCACATCCTAGATTTTGGTAATGGTATCCTTATGGTGTCATTTCTTTTTCCCTTGCTTTTCCTGAGACCAGTTTCAAGTGAACCTTGTTCAAACCCTAGTTTGAAAAGCAAAATGTAAAACCTTTGATATAAGTGGGGTTAATTTAAATACTGGGTATTTGCTATTAAGTAATTACTGCTACTACTTTTTTTTAAAGATTTTAGTTATTTTTGGAGAGAGGGGGAGGACGAAAGAGGGAAACACTAATCCATTGCCCCTTGCACACCCCCTACTGGGAACCTGGCCTGCAACCCAAGCATGTGCCCAGACTGGGAATCAAACCGGAGACTCTGGTTCACAGGCCAGCACTCAATCCACTGAGCCACTCCAGCCAACTGCTACTAGTTTTAAGTGGTAATGGTTTTATAGTTATTTAATATTCATTTTATCTCCATTTTACCTTTTTTCCCAATAGGTGTTGGTAACATGTATTTTAAACAGCTTTACTAAGACACAGTTTATATTCAATTCACCTATTTAATCTGTACAATTCAATGGTTTTTAATATATTCAGGGTTATACAACCATCAGGACAATTTCAGAACATTTTCATCACCTCAAAAACAAAATACCCATTTAACAGTTGGTCACATTTCCCCTTAAATTCCCCCAGCCCTAGGCTACCACGATTATGCTTTCTTTATACATTTCCCTATTCTGGACAAAAATAATTTTCTTTTAGAAATACATTCATAGGTGGGCATAGGTGATATTAGTTGATTCAAAGAGTTGACTCAAGGATCCCATTACTGTGGTTCTTTCCATCTTCTGCTCTGCCATTCTCAGCATTCTCTAGGACTGGATTCCTCGTGGTGCTGACAGGGCGGTTCTGTTCCACACATTACACACAGACAACAATGTTCAGAGGGAATAAAAGGGGACACACTAGTGCCCTATGTCCATTTTTGAGAGGGAGGAACACTTCCCCAAAAGCCCCCAGCACACTTGTTATTTCTCCTTGGCCAGAAAGCCCTTTCCTAATTCAAACAAAACACAAGAGGCATGAGACCATCAAGACTCTCCCTTTGGAAGTTAGATTCCAGACTTTCTGAAAGAATATACAAATTGCAGGGTCATATTAACAAGTAACAAACGTGCGAGTAAGATGGCTCTTGGGTAAAGCAACTAGCAAGGTCTGTCCCAGATGAGTTACAGGAACACCCCAGACACAAGAACACAATCTAGGAGCTCACCATGACTGATGTCTGAGCAGAGCAGGAGTGGTTCCCACCAAAAAAGGATGGGTTGTGGGTCTGACTACATCCTACATACAATGCAGTGACTGGATATACATACAAAGGCCACAGCTCTCTGGCCCACAACCTCTGCAGCAATAGGCCCAAGTTAGTCAAGACTTGGTTACTAACTGCCGGCCTCCCTGGTTTTTGCCCCTGTACTATTTAGGAGCAATGGGGAGACAAATATGCCCCCCCAAAGAATCGCGTAAGGCTGTAACAGGGCAAAACCCAGGTTCGGCTGCCTGCCACAAGGAAAGCCAAACTCGTGAAGGTGTGGTGCAAAAAAAGAGGTTTTTAGCCGCACGACCTGGGTGAATGTTGGACAGGAGTCTCAAAGATCATCTCCTTTTCCTGCTCAAGACCCCAGTTCTTATAGGGATAGGGAGGCGAGGGCTTTCTTTCTTCTGTCCATATAATTTTGCTTTTGGCAGGCCAGGGGCCCGATCCATTCATCTTTCTAGCTTTCAGCAGGCTTGGGATCCATCCATTAATCTTTTTAGCTTTCCCCGCTCTAGGGACCCTACCTAGTCATAGTTCTAGTTTCTGGCGCACTGGGGGATCCCCACCCATCCGTTTTTCTAGCTTGTCACACGCTCAGTCGAAGAACCTCCCCTTGCCACCATCTTGACCAATGGGAGAGACGCCCCAGCGCCCAACAGACTGCGGGTAAGAGGACCGCACACCTCCAGTCAGCCACCCTCCAACTTCCACCCTCGACTAAGTGCAAACAGGGCGCCTGCTGCGGCCTTTCACGTTTGCCACTGCCCTTGTGCCCAACCCTTCAGCCTCCGCCAAACGCACAGGATGGTGGCGGGCTACCTTGCTCACCCGCCAGGCAGTCTTCATTTACACCCACAGCAGGTCGGGGCGTCGGAAACGACCCTGAGAAAAGGAGGCCGAGCGCAACTGACGCACGAATCCCGCTCCTGGTGTGGGTCGCCACTGTGGCTGAGGCGCCGGCCTCGGTCACCTGAAAAGAGGAATTGGGTCAGCCCTTTGACTCAGGTTTCGGCGGAGTGGCGCGTCCACAAGGACAACGGCAGGAAACCGCCACCAGCGCGCGGCCTTCTGGGACCTGTAGTTTTTGGCGCTGAGCACGCGCACTTCCGCCGTCCACCGGAAGCCCCTCTGTTACCTCCCCGGCTCAGGTGAGTCAAGCTTGCGGGAATAGCGGGAAGGTTCCGCTGCAAGCGGGCGGGGCGGGTTACAGGACCTGACCGAAATGACCTCGGCAGCGTCCAAGGAGGCAGCGGGCCTGGTTCGCGTATCTCCTCTTGCGGGGCCAGGCAGTGGTATGTAAGATTCAAGCCCCTCTGGCCGCAGGAACCCGTAGGGAGCAGGTCCAGGAAGGGGCCCCTCCAGCATCAGAGCCCCGCTGAGGCACCCCTGCAGCAAGACGGAGCTAGGGTTGCTGTGCTTGGCCCTCCTACCGCAAAACAGGCCCTGGATGGAGAGCTGCTGTGGCCGGCGTTTGTAGCTCTGGGGCCTCCCACCCCGGCCTGAATCGTGCCTCCTGCTTTCCTGCCTGTTAAGGCACACTGCTCACCCCCAGTAGGCTCTCTGTGCAGGAGGTGGTGGCCAAGAGCCTCTTAGCAGCCGTCCAGGGAAGTACACCTTATGGATGAAAAAGTTCTGTGAGAACAACTTAATAGGGAGATAAGGTCATAAATTCTTAACTGGTAGTCATGCTCCAGGCCTGTAACTTCCTTAGGAAGACGTTTATCTTCGCCTTAAGCAAGCTCTGTCCATTGTCTCTGTGCATCTCAGCACACCTTTGAAGTGCCTCTTTCTGGTCAAATAGCTGGACATCCCCAATCTCTACCTTGCTTTCTCCCCGCTCTATGTAAGTAATCTTCCTTACATTCCCATTTTAATTCCAAATGCTTGAAAGCTGCAAACTCATTTCTGGAAAGCATTTTCTCAGTCTGTTGAGATCATACTTTCAGGTGAATTCTCTGTTTGGCTCAAGTAAGTGGTAAAAGTTCCTTATAGGTTTGGACGCCCTTACTTGTTACATCCACACCCTGTACCCCAGAGGGCACCCCAGTCCAAGAATACAGCCACGTTTTCTTCCACTGGTACGTGACTGTTGTGCTCACTTTGAAGAAAAAACTGTTGTTTTCCAAGTGAACAAAGTTAGGGGTAGCCTAGGCAAACAACGTCAGCAACACCAATCTGGGGTGTGGAGGGACTACAGCGGTTGTGTGTGCTAATGCCCCAAGTTAGGGGCTAGGTTAGAAGAGGGGCTGGAGATGTGAGCAGAACTGGAGGTGAGGACTGCAGGGGCAGGAAGCTGTCCTTTACATGAGGGCTTGGATTTCAAGGAGACCGTGGAAGTGGAATCATGTTGCTGTGGAAATAACTCAGTGCAAGGGGGAGTGTCAGTAGAGTGGAAATTGCTAAGACTCCAATTTTTTAAAATTTTATTTATTGATATTAGAGACAGAAACATCGATTTGTTGTCCCTCTTATTTATGCATCCATCGGTTGATTCTTGTGTCCTGTGATCTGGGTTAGAACCTACAACATTGGTGCATGGGGAATGGAGACACTCTAACCAACTGAGCTACCCAGCCAGGGCTCCAGTTCTAGAAAAAAGCCAGGAAGAAGGTCACAGAACAAGAGAAAAGGGATTCCTAGTCACTCTCAGTTCTATTGAGTTGAGGATTCCATGGTGGTGGCGCGGGGGTGGTGTTGAGAAGGGAATGGCAGTGTCAGAAGCCTGGGAGGGAGGTTTAAGCTTGTCAGGAAGCTTGGGGTAGCTTAAAACCCCATGCCAAAGTCAGGGAAAGAAGAAACTGGAAACATAAAGAGAAAGTGCCTCCTCCACAGCCCTGCACAGTTTCCAGCCAGACCAGCTCTCTCCTGGGTCCAGCATGAGATATGGAAGGGGAATTTCATGTCCAAGTATAATTGACATGATTAAATATGCTTGTACTGTGTGTCAACATGGCATCAAGCTCTATAAATGCAACTCATTTAATTCTCACAGAGGCATGATGAGGTAAGAACTGCTATTCCAGGAGTCTACAGAGGAGGAAACAGGGCCAGAGAAGTTAAGGTCTCTTAGGGGCCCTACGGAGGCAAGTTGTAGAGTGGGACTCCACTTTGCAAGTGGGTGGTTTGGCTGCAGAATGGGTGTTCCCAGACAATGAATAGTATCAAAGGGTGGAAATAGACATAGGCAGTAGGTGATTGCCCTGGGTTCGGCTGTTCTGGGAAGTCTTCTTAGTGTGGGGAGCCTGGGGGTGTCAGAAACTCTGTCAAGGGCTCAGCTGAGAGGAGCAAGAACTTGGTGGCAAGAGTGGGGCACTGGGATGCAGGAGTTGCCTTAACCAGAAGGAAAACCTCTGAGAAGTTGCAGGGAGCCCCTTGGGAGCATGTGGGCTTAGGGGAGTATGTGTGCCAGGAAGGTGGAAGAGTCCAAGGTCATCTTTGGAGTGAATTAAGAGGTGTGTCTGCACTGAAGGGGTCACGGTGAGAGGGGCTGGAAGGGGAAGTGAGAACCAGGACTTGCAGCCATAGGGGAAGGAGATGAAGTAGATGTTGTCCTTCCAGTCTCATACCACCCAGGTTGCAGACTCCAGCAGGGGAAGGCAGAGAGGGCCTCCGATGGCTTGGAGCAGATTGTACAGAGCACCCAAGTGAGGGGCCTAGAGGTGGGCCCCACATGGAGAATGACAGGAAAGAGGGCAAGGACAGTGGGCTGGGCCAGGGGGAAGCTGGGAACCAGGCGACAGTGTGCTTGGGACCAGAGACTGCAGAGCTCCTGGCTTCTACTCAGTCATGAAGCCTTGGTGAATTTTTACTCAAGCTATTTTTTTTAACCCACATTCTTTTTAAAAAAAATTATTTATTTATTTATTTTTAGAGAGGGGGAAGGGAGGGAGAAAGAGAGGGAGAGAAACATCAATGTGTGGTTGCCTCTCATGTGCCCCTCACTTGGGAGCTGGCCCGCAACCCAAGCATGTGCCCTGACTGGGAATGGAACCGGCAACTCTTTATTTTGCGGGCCTGTGCTCAATCCACTGAGCTACGCCAGCCAGGGCTCAAGCTATTTTTTTAAATTTATTTTTAAATTATAGTTGACATACAATATTAGATTTGGGTACACAGCATAGTGATTAGGCATTTTTATACCTGTGATCCCCTCGGTAAGTCTAGTACCCATTTGACCCATACACAGTTATTACTGTATTACTGACTGTATTCCCTATTCTTACTTTACATCCATGTGATTATTTTTATAACAGGAAGCTTGTGCTTTTTAATTTTTTTATTTATTGATTTTAGAGAGAGGAAAAGGGAGAGAGAAACATCAATTTGTAGTTCCACTCATTGATGCAGTCACTGGTTGACTCCAGTATGTGCCCTGACTGGGGCTAGAACTCACAAGTTTGCATGTGGAGATGATGCGCTGATCAACTGAGCTACCTGGTCAGGGCAGTTCGTGTGTGGTCCTTAATTCCCTTGACCTTTTTACCTATCCCGGTACCCATCTGGCAGCCATCAGTTTATTCTCTTTATCAATCAGTTGATTTCTGTTTTGATTTTAGATTCCACACATAAGTAAAATTATATGGTGTTTGTCTTTCTCTGATGTATTTCACTTAGGTCCATTCATGCAGTAACAGATGGTAAGATCTCATTCTTCTTTATGGCCAAGTAATATTCCATTTGTATATATGTACCACCACTTTTGTCCGCTAGTCTATTGATGGGCACTTGGGTTGCTCCCACATCTTGGCTATTGTAAACAACCCTGCAGGGAACATAGCAGGACATAAAATCCTTTCAAATTAGTGTTTTGGGTTTCTTTGCATATAAATCCAGGAGTGGGGTTATAAGGCAGTTCTGTTTTTAATTTTTAGAGGAAAATCCATGTGGTTTTCAATAGTGGCTGCACCAATCTGCATTCCTTCTCTCCACATCCTCACCAACACTTGGTGGTTGATTTATTCATGATAGCCATTCTGACTGGTGCGAGGTGATAACCCTGCATCTTAATTTGCATCTTTCTGATGATTAAGTGCAGTTGAGCATCTTTTCATATGTCTATTGGCCATCTATGTGTTCTCTCTGGAAAAAATGCTTATTCAGGTCCTCTGCCCATTTTTTAATTGGATTTTTAAATGTTGAGATGTATGAATTCTTTATATATTTTGGATATTAACTGATTATCAGATATATCATTTACAATTATCTATTCCCATTCAGTAAGTTGCCTTTTTGGTTTTTTTGTTTTTGTTTTTGGTGGGGTTTTTTTGGTTTGGTTTTTTTGTTTTTTTGGTTTTTGCCTTTTTGTTTTGTTGAAGCTTTCCTTTGTGGCCAAAAGCTTTATAGTTTAATGTCATCATTTTTTGTTTTGTTTTGTTTTTTCACATCTGTTTCCCTTACCTGAGGACACAAATCTAAAAATTACTGGTTTGATTAGTGTCAGAAAGCTTATTGTTTTATGGTTTGGGGTCTTACATTTAAATCTTTATTCCATTTTGAGTTCATTTTTGTATATGAAGTTATAAACTGGTCTACTTTCTTTTTTTCTGCATGTATCTGGCAGGCTTCCTAACACCTTTTATTGAAAATACTGCTTTTTTTTCCCCCTAAAGACTTTATTTTCAGAGAGAAGGGAAGGGAGGGAGAAAGAACAGGAGAGAAACATCAATTGCTTCCCTTGTGTACATACCCCAACCTGGGACCAAACCCTCAGCCTAGACACGTGTCCTGACTGGGATTCAATCCGGCAACCCTTCAGTTTGCAGGCTGGCTCTCAATCCACGGAGCCACACCAGTGAGGGATGAAGACGCTGTCTTTACCCCATTTTACAACCTTGCCTCTTTGCTCACCAGTCACAGATGTACCATATAAATGAGATTTTCTTTCTCAGCTCTCTGTTCTGTTATTCTGCCCCAGGCAGTAGGGCAGCATCGCGGCACCTCCAGAATTATCCTGAGGGAGAACACTCCTCCTCCGGAGCGCCTTTTGCTGCCCTCAGCGCTTTCATAACCTCCTTGTCACAATTCCCCACACATATTTTTGGAAACCGACTGATGTTTCATTGTAATATATTTAAATTGTGCTTTTTTTTTTGAAACCAGGTCCTGTATCACTGTTCTTTGACAATTGTGCAGGGTTTTTGTTTTTTGCAAACCAGTTGTTTCATTGGAATGTTTTTAAAGCGTGCAGTTGTTTTGACACCCTGTCTTTACCTCCCCCCATTCATTCTCATGAGATGACAGGAAAAATTGGCCCCTCTCTATGTATGTGGGGGGAATCTGTGTCTGTTGGATCACAGTTCAGACACCCCAGCACATGTCTGGGCATTGCCTCGAGCCCAGGGACAGCCCGGGTTGGTCCCCAGGCTCAGTCCTGAGCATGCTGAGCCCATTTCACCACCGGAAAGCTGTCTCAGCCACTTTGGCTGACCTCAGAGCCTTGGACAAGAGTGCCGTGTGGTCACAGTTCTACCTCCCTGTTCCTCACACCCCAGCGGAATGTTCCTCAACTGGTATATTCCCCTCCCTTGTTTGGGGTTGGAGTGGGCTCAAGAGTGTGGGGGTACCGAGCAGTGGCCGAATCCCTAATTGTCCCCCCACCCCCAGCACTGCCTCCTGAGGACATCTGCCCTCTGTACACCACCTTCTTCCAGTTTGAGGAGGAAATGGAGGCGGATTCTCAATCAGTTCCATCCCAGGTAAGTTAGGTTACCTCTGCTCTTTTTGCCCCTCAGTGTTCTCAGCTATAAAATGGGTCCAGGAATAGCACTCGCCTCTTCAGGAGGACACACACAGGAGCTCAGTGATGCAGCCTCATACCTTTGGGTGAGACCTATGGGCTCCCTGCAGATCAAGCACCTTCCCTGTGCAGATGAGCCACTTGCACCTGGTTCTGGGCCGTATCTCCTCCCCTCAAGTCCTGTGTGGCTGCCGGAAGTGGGATGCTGTCTGCATGGTCACATCAGGACAACTCACACCTGAGAAGCTCAGGGACTCGTCCAGGTGTCTAGCTGCTAAGGCATGAAGCTGAGGTGCCAAATTGGGCCTGGCGGCCAGGGCCAGGGCGTAGGGCCCTTTGCCTGCCAGCCTCTGTTGAGAGCCGGCTCTACCAGTGTTTTCCGTAAAGAGCAGGTGGTGGAAATTACCTTAAGCTCTTTGGGCCACACGTGGTCTCTGTCCCATATTTTTTTGTACACAGCCCTTTAAAAAACAAAATCTATTCTTAGCTATATTTGTCTGCTGCTGTAACAAAATACCACAGGTTGTGTAGCTCAAGCAACATTTATTTTGTCATAGTTCTGGAGACTAAAAGTCTGAGACCAAGGTGCTAGCGGGGTTAGTTTCAGGCGAGGACTGTCTTCCTGGCTTGAAGATTGTGCCTTCTCTGTGTCTTCACATGACAGAGAAAGAAGCCTCTGGTGTCTCCTTGTACTGTAAGGACACCGATCCCATTGCATTAGGGCCCTACCCTTATGACCCCCCCCCATTAACATTATTTGCTTTTGTAAAGGCCCTGCCCCCAAATACAGTCACATAGGGGGGTAGGACTTCAACATATGAATTTAGGGAAAAAACAGTTTCACTAGCTCATGGCATTAGCCTTCTCAAAATACACCACAGTCTTCATTTGTCCCCCAGGCTGTAATTGCTCATCTCTGATTTAGAACATCCTCTTTGACTGCCCTCAAATCTGTGATTTTGTAGAGAAGCAGGGGATGGGGTTCTCCCCGTGGGGTTCCTCTTGTTTCCCAGGACAGAAAATCAGGATTGCTGGTGTGACCAGCAATAGACTCAGAAGTGAAAATGCTGTGCATTGGGTCAGTGTCTGATCAGATCACTGCTCAAAGGTGGGAACCTGTGGGTGCTCTGGACATCATGTCTCCTTCCTTTTGCTGGCCTGTTACCTCCTCAACCTCCACATCGGGGAGACATGGCCCCGTGGTAACGTGGGTGATGTTTCAGCCACCTGTCAGCTTCAAGGATGTGGTTGTGAGATTCACACGTGAGGAGTGGAGACAGCTAGACACAGTTCAGAGGACACTGTACCGCGACGTGACACTAGAGACATGTGGCCACCTCGTCTCCCTGGGTAAGGTGGGCTCTGCCATTGCATGGGCTTTCTGCTTCTGGGACTCCAAACTGTGGCTCTTCCCTGGATGTGCTTGTGCTGGGGTGGAGCAGTCCAGAAGTGGGTCCCTTCGAGGTGCAGATCCCAGGTGTTGCTGCTTAGCCTCTACTACAGGACTAGCCATTCATTCCCCAGAATGGCTCTAGGTCCCTCCTAGTCCGTCCATATCTGACCCCAGGGAACAAGGGCTGGGCCGGAGAATGTAGTTGTCTTCATCTCCAAGCAGAGCACCAAGTCTTGTGTTTTTCCCCATTGACCAGGGCTTCTGCTCCCCAATCTGGATGTGATCTCCCGCCTGGAGAATGGTGAGGACCCATGGAGGGCAGAGCAGGAACCTCCTATCCGAGGTGAGAGCCTTTGGTTGGGCAGAGTTCCCTAGGTTGGAGGTGGAGGGCGGCCATGCGTGGGGAGCTTGCTCGGGTGTTCTGTGCAGCTGCCTCATGTCCAGCTAGGCAGCCACCTCTTCCTCCAGGGACCCAGCTCACGGAATGCACATGCCACTGTCTCAGGCGTGGGTTTACTTCTTTCCCCTGCTCCCCTTTGGTCTTTACCCCTCACGACCTTGTCTTATCCCCAGGTCCTTTGGATCCCTCTTCCCTGAGCTCCTTGTCATAAGTTCACTGTGGAAGCAGCTCCTCAGGCTTCCCTGTTAGGCCTGCTCTTTCCCCCCGGTGTGTTTGAAGTTCCCATGACTTCCAGATGATCCCCTGGTGTGGTAAGACCTTACGTATCCTAGGAAATGTCAGCGCTTGTTTCTTTCAGAAGAATTCTTCCTGTTCTTCTGGACCTGCTTTCCAGGTCTTCCCATCCCACAGACCCACCTCCTCATATATCCCAGTGTGTCAGCCTGATTGGAATTCCTTTTTCAAACAGCTATTTCAAGACACAATTTACCCATTTAAAGGGCCCAAAGGTTTTTAGTGTATTCACATCACCAGAATCAATTTAGAACTTGTTCATCACCCCAAGTAAATTGGGCTACCTCTCATGGTCCTTTTGTTTTAAATAATAGATTTCTTTAAAGTTTATTTTTCAGTTACAGTTGACATATAATACTATGTTAGTTTCATATGTAAAACAATAGACATTTATTTATATAACTTACAAAGCGATAACCCCAATAAGTCTAGCATACTTCTCAAACTAGACATTTTTATTACATTATTATTGAGAATACTCCCTATGTTGTACTTTTTTTACATCCATGTGAATATTTATATAATTGACAATTTGTATTTCTTAATCCCTTTCACCTTTTTCATCATAGACTATTTAGAAAGCAGTTGTATGTTTACACAAAGTTGAACAGAACGTAGAGTTTGCACTTACCTCTTAGTCCACACATTCACAATTTCCCCTATTAATATTTTGCATTCTGTGGTACATTAGTTACAATTGATGAGCCTTTATTGATTGTTCTGTTATTAATAGTGATCAGTAGTTTACATTAGGTTCACGCTTGGTATTTTACATTCTGTGGGTTGGACGAATGTGGGATGAGTTGTATCCACCATTTTATAGTATTACACAGAGTAGTTGTACTATCCTAAAAACCCTCTGTACTCTGCCTGGTCATCCTTCTGGCTGGCCTGACTCCTGCTAACCACTGATTATTTTACTGTCTCTTTAGTCTGCCTTTTCTGGAATGTTCTGTAGTTGGAATAATGCGTTCTGTGGCCTTTTCCGATGGACTGCTTTCACTTACCATCATGTGTGCCCTTCTCATCACCTGGAGGCATTGAATTTATCTCTGTGTTTCTGCTCCAGCTGATCCTGTAACTCTCACCTACAGCCTGTTATTTCTTCCTCTGAAGTCTCATCTGTAATTATCCTTGGTCCTCATGTCATTCAGAATTCAGTTTACTGGCCACACCTTCCTTCTGTCTAACATAGATGTTACTATTTGCCTGACCTGCAGTTTGTCTTCCTCTTTTCGTGATCTTGACTCAGAAGTTGTTGTGGAATGTTTAACCACCTTTGCTCGGTTTCCAACAGCCAGGCACAGTTTTGACACATCTTACCCATCCAGAGATTTCTCTTGTCCTTGTCCTCAAACACCCTATCACTCCCCTTTATTGGGTCATAGTTTCATTTGAAAAAGTCCTCATTCCCATCATTGGGGATTCCAAAGCAAAACCCCAAATGAACACATCAGAGTCTCAGGAAGGAGAACAGTGTTGCTTATAGGCATTGCTGGGTATAGATAAGGACCTTACACAAGAGGGAAAGAGGATCTTTGACATGAGGGAAACGTCCCCATGGAAGTCAAGGGATGGCCAGGAGTGTATTTAACACTTTGGTAAGTGGAGGGTCCTTGTCTCCTTGGCAGGCATGGAGAGCAAAGGATGGGTGCTTGAACAGAGGCTTTGTGGGACTAGATGCTGGTGGCTACATAACTGGGATGAACAGAGTGACCAACAAAGGGGGAATTTCAGAGGACCTCAGTAAGTGTCCTTAGCTGGGAGTTTATTGGGTGCACTGGGAGCCCAGTATCAGCAACAGAAGGAGGAATCAGTAACGACGGTGATGATGTCAGCAGTACTGTGAGCTCTCAGTGTGTCCTGTGCCAGACACTGTGAAGCTCACATGTTGACTCATTTATGCCTCAAAGTAAACCTGGCAAGCTAAGCATTCTTATTCCTGGCATACCACCAAGGAAGGTGATCCTCAAAAGTCACCAGTTGGGGAAGTCTGTGGTTTGGACTGGCCAACCACGCTGCTTCACAGATGACAGTGCTTTTCTGGTGAATCTGTAGCATCAATTCTGGAATGGTTAAAGCAATGCTTTTCTCTCTGTGCAGCCAGAAGGAGTGATAGAAATGGTGCCTATGACTATTAAGTCATTCTGGTGTTTGAATCCCGTTTTAAGATTCAAAATCAGCCCTTGCTGATTAGCTCAGGGGATTGAGTGTGGGCCTGCAAACCAAATGTCGCCAGTTCAATTCCCAGTCCAGGGTGCATGCCTAGGCTGTGGGCCAAGTCCCCAGTGGGAGGCACGTGAGAGGCAACCACACACTGATGTTTCTCTCCTTCTCTTCCCCCCACTCTAAAAATAAATAAATAAAATCTTTTTTAAAAAGGTTCAAAATCAGAAAATAGGCTAAGATTCTGAGTCAGTAATTAGATTGAGGCACAAGTTAAGATCCTGTATTAGTTTCTGGAGGGTTCTATAATAAACTGTCACTGGGTTTAAAACAACACAAATTTAGCCCTGGCTAGTATAGCTCAGTGAGTTGAGTGCCAAGAATCGAAAGGTCGTGAGTTTGATTCCCAGTCAGGGTACGTGCCTGGGTTGCAGGCCAGGTCCCCAGTTCGGGTGCATGTGAGAGTCAACCAATCACTGTTTCTCTCACTCATCGATGTTTCTCCCTCTCTTTCTCCCTCCCTTTCCCTCTCCCTAAACAATAAATAAAATCTTTGAAAAACAGAAAAAAATTAAACAACACAAATTTATTCTCCCACCATCCCTGGAGGCCAGAAAGCTGAAACAACATCAACAGGGCCATGTTCTCTCAGGAGGTCACTGGAGGAAATCTCTTCCCTGTCTGTTCCAGGTTCTGGTGGCTGTGACATTCCTTGGGTTTTTCCCACATCACTTCAGTCTCTTAAGTCCAACATCTTTATATTTCTGCTCTGTGCTTGTTAATTTATCTCTGTGTATTCGTTCATTCTTCCTCTAATTCCATCATAGAAGGTCACTTGTGAAATTTACAGCCAGATAATTTCCCCATCTCAAGATTCAGCAGTTCTGCCTTCCGGGTACCAGCTCTCTGCTGCCCTGCACACTGGGCTGGCTTCAGGCCCAGGATACGGGAGCCCGTCTGCTGGTCCAAGTGTTGTGCTGGCGCACTCGTGGTGAGAATCGGGAAGAGGAGCAGACAATAAGGATAGGCTCAAAAAAAAAAATGAGGAAGAAAATACCATGGCAAATATGCACCACCAAAACGAAGAAATGGAGCGGTGTATGCAGAATGGAGAGGAAGACCACCAGCCGCAGGAAATAACAGTCGGCGACAGGCATGCGAACGGGCCCCTAACTTCCAATGGGCCATACCCAACTGGCAGATCAATGATGGGATGGGTGGAGATGGAGATGATATGCAAATGTTCATGGAAGGGATGGGAGAAATCTGGAGAAAAATTAGGAAGCTGCAGTTGTGGAATTGTCTGCATATCCTGATGGGGGAGTTCTCTAATCTCTAACCATGACCATCATGATGAATTTTGCCTTGATTCCTATCATTTTCCATGAGACTAATACTGTGATTCCCACTGCTTTTTCCTTGCATTTCCTGATACGCCTTTACTGATCCATTTGCTGTGAACCATATGTAATTTCCATGTGTCAAGTGGGTTCTGTGTCACCAACTTCTAATGGAGATTGCCTTGGCACACAGTAGTTTCACCCGTTTACATGGAAAAATGTTAAGTGAATAAAGCAATGAAAAAGCAACCTAAAAAAAAAGAAAGACACAGTAGTTCTGCAAAGATCTTTTTTCAAATACAATACCATATTTACAGGTCCCAGTAACTGGACATAGGTATGTATCTTTTGTGTTTATTGAGGTCCATATACCTTCAGACTCAGTTCTTTCTGGGGATTTCTCCTTTAATCTTTATGCTTGTACTTGTTCGTAGTCCTCTACTTCCTCTTTGGGGACCAGTTCTCCTGAATTATCTCATTACCTTTGCTTGTTTTTTGTGCATCACTTGATTCCTGATCCATCCCACTCTTTTATATTCTGTGTGAAATTACAGTCCATAGATTCGAAACAAACCCAGAGACACTTCTCATACTTGGTGTTTTTCTTGTTCCCCTCCCCCCTTCTAAGGCTTCTGCAATAATTTGGGCATTTTGGATTTCTTTCAGACTTGATGACTACACTTGAAAAGAAAGAGTTACCTCCTGGAGAGGATACTGCTGTGGAAGAGCTGTCCTTCCACGTAAATATGAAATGCTGTGTAGAAAGCCCCTGGTCTGTGCAGGGTTGGAGGGACCAGCCAGGGGAACAACACAATGAATCTTTGAGTCAAATTGTACTTACCTTGGAGGAGTTTGCGCAAGAGGAATGTTGTGAACATGACCTTGGGGGAGGTTGTCAGAGTGAAAGTCCTCTACCTCCAGCATTACCTACAAAAACACCTTTCCACAAGCTTGACTCACAAGTTCAACAGTTGAAACAGAGTTCAGTTTTTGTCAATCACTGGAAAGGCTGGACCAATCAGAAGACCTGTGAAAATCTTGCAAGTGCCAGAGCCTTCTCTCAGAACATTCACTTGCATAAACTTGCAGACGTTGAAAAGGAAGATAAAAAGCCTCATGAATGTACTGTCAGAAGTGACTCTTTGAAATATGGTACTTCTATTCATTTCCATAACAGAATATTTTCATCAGAGAACAGTAATGATTGTAAGGCCAATGGAAATGTCATTAACCATAGCATGTCTCTGAATAAAAACCAACCAGTGCATTTTGGAGAAAGTCAGTATAAGTGTGATGAACGCTTTGTGCAACCTGAAGTAATTGTTGTATATCCTGGATGTGAGGAGGAATGCAGTGCCTTCTACATGGCCTCATCTTTTAGTGACTGTGACATCAATCAGACAAGAAAGAAGCCACATGCATGTAATCTATGTGGAAAATCTGCCAGCTGTTGCTGTAAGCTTGTACACCAGAGAACACACACTGGAGAGAAGCCATGTAAATGCAATCATTGTGGTAAAGCCATCTGTGGGAGCTTTTACCTTTCACATCAGAGAATTAACTTGGGCAAGAATCCCTATGAGTGTAGTGACTGTGGGAAATCTTTTAGGCAGCAATCACAGCTTGCTGTGCATCAGAGAATCCACACTGGAGATAAACCTTATAAATGCAGTCATTGTGGAAAAGCTTTCAGGTGGAGATATCTCCTCATTGTGCATCAGAGAATACACACCGGAGAGAAGCCCTACCAGTGTAATGTGTGTGTTAAAGCCTTCAGTGGTCGGTCTGCTCTTAGGAGACATGAGAGAACACACACGGGTGGAAAACATTTTGAATGCAATGATTGTGAAAAGTTCTTTAACCGACAGAGTCACCTTACTAGGCATCAGAGAAGTCATACTGCAGGGAAACCTTATTTTTGTGCTCATTGTGGAAACTCTTTTAGCTGTAGCTCTGACTTTGTTGCGCATAAAAGGATTCACACTGGAGAGAAACCCTATGAATGTAACCACTGTGGGAAGTATTTTTGGCAGCAATCACAGCTTCTTGTACATCAGCAAGCTCATACTGGGGAGAGGAAAATTTATGAATGCAGTCATTGTGAAAAAGGTTTCAAGTGGAGATCTCACCTCACTCTACATCAGAGAACCCACACTGGAGAAAAGCCCTATGAATGCATTGAATGTGGGAAAGCCTTCAGTGATGGGTCATCTCTTAGAAAACATAAGAGAACACACACTGGTGAAAAACCCTATCACTGCAACCACTGTGGGAAATCTTTTCGGCAGCAATCACAGCTTGTTGTACACCAGCGAACCCATACTGGAGAGAAACCTTATGAATGCAATCACTGTGGAAAAGGTTTCAAGTGGAGATCTCACCTCATTCTACATCAGAGAACCCACACTGGAGAAAAGCCCTATGAATGCATTGAATGTGGGAAAGCCTTCAGTGATGGGTCATCTCTTAGAAAACATGAGAGAACACACACTGGTGAAAAACCCTATCACTGTAACCACTGTGGGAAATCTTTTCGGCAGCAATCACAGCTTGTTGTACACCAGCGAACCCATACTGGAGAGAAACCTTATGAATGCAGTCATTGTGGAAAAGCTTTCAGCCAGAGATCTATCCTCACTGTTCATGAGAGAACACACACTGGAGAAAAGCCCTATAAGTGTAAAATTTGTGTTAAAGCCTTCAGCCAGAGATACCTCCTCATTGTGCATCAAAGAACACACACTGGAGAGAAGCCTTATCAGTGTAACATGTGCATTAAAGCCTTTAGTGGTCGGTTAGCTCTTAGAAAGCACGAGAGAACGCACACAGGTGAGAAACCTTGTTAATGAATGTAATCATTGTGAAAAGGCCTTTACTGGGCAGAGTCCCTGTAATGGGCATCAGAAAATTCACACTGGAGAGAAACCATATTTTTGTGCTCATTGTGGAAAGTTCTTCAGCAATAACTCCTATTTTTGTCACACATAAAACTATTCACACTGGAAAGAAACCCTATGAATGTTACTACTGTGGGAAAACTTTTTACACAGCTTGTGTATCTGTGAATTCATCCTGGAGAGAAGAAATCTTATGAATACAGTTATTGTTGAAAGGTTTCAAGTGGAAAGCTTTCAGTACGCATCAGAGAACGCACACTGGTGAGAAACTTTACAAATGTAATCATTGTGGAAAGGCCTTTCCTGGCATCAGACTTGCCTTACTGGCCATCAGAGAATTCATAGTAGAGAGAAATCCTATAAATGTAACAAGTGTTGGAAGGCTTTCAGTTAAAGTAGATCTCTAATTCAATATGAGAAAACTCATAGAGAAACCCTATGAATAATTAAGATGGAAAAGCTCACTGCTAGAACTTGTTTAGACATCAGATGACCACATGCATCAGAATTGCTTGGAGTGTATATTGAAACTGCAGATTACCAAGTTTATCCTAATTTACTAAATCAAAAGTCAACCAGTAAAACCCAGGAGCTCAGCATTTCCTAAAGCAGCATGTTATTTGTACATGCACTAAAATGTGTTTACTTCTGCGTTTATGTGAGAAGGTAAACTTTCAGTCAAAGCTCATAGCAGAGAATAGAAAACTCAGAATAGAACTGTGTTTGTTACCATTTTATTGCAAATAGCCACATAAAGTCACCAGATTTTATCCCTATAACATTCCTAAAAAAATGATGGGGGGCTGGCAGATACTATATATCCAAGAGAGGCTGAAGTGTATGTCCACAATGGTAAAAATGTGAGAGGCCATTACTGTAACTGTAGATTTGAGCATGGGGCAGCATCACCTAGGGGCACATACTGGGAAAGGCTGAAGCCAGGACTAAAGAGAGGGCGGCAGCACTGGAGGTCACAGCCCCTTGGCAGAGTTTAAGGCTCATAGCTTTGTGGCAGGAGAGCAGGATTGAAGGTCTGCTCATGAAATTCCAGATTTTCTCCCCCTTTTTTAGTCTTGTCTTGCATAAAGTATCTGCCTGTGGGTGAGCAAAATGAAATAGAGAGTGAATTAGTTATGAAGAAATAGTTGGTCTGGGGGCTAGGGAATAGGTGTATTATGCTCCAGAACAAGGGCTGTCCTTAATATTTCAAGGACCTTCATACTAAAACCTGGTTCCTGCCCTATTCCCCTCAAAGAGAACCATTAAAACAGCCCCCACCATCTATGGAGACTCCCTTCTGATTTCTGATAGTATCTACAATGTGGATGGAAGGCAGGGAGTGAGAGGTTTGAAAGCCTTCAACATCAAAGAAAATATCTGAGGTTAAAAAAAAAGCTCAAGAAGGACAGATACTCAGAGGAACTAAACATTTAAAATGAAGATTGAGTCAGAAATAATTGCAAATGAAAAATAAATGCAAGGTAGTATTTTAAAAAGTTATTAGAACAAAAATAAGCTGAAATTAAAAGAAAGATTTTTTTAAAAAGAGAAAAAAATTTTGCAGAGCTGAAAGAAAATCTTAAGGTCCTGCCAATTACTATACAGGATTAGTAACATCTGTTGAGAACAACGCAGTTAAAAAGACATTGCAGAAACTTCTAGAGATAATAGTTTTAAAACAAAGAAAAGGAATAGAGCCCTGGCTGGTGTAGCTCAGTGGATTGAGCGCAGGCTGTGAACCAAAGAGTCACTGGTTCAATTCCCAGTCATGGCACATGCCTGGGTTGCGGACCAGCTCCTCACTGTGGGGCATGTGAGAGGCAACCATACATTAATCTTTCTCTCCCTCTATTCCTCTCTCTCTAAAAATAAATAAATAAAACTTAAAAGAAATAGGGTTTTTTTTAAAAGAAAAGAAATGTTCTTATTAGAAATAGGGTTTTTTTTTTTAAAGAAAAGAAATGTTCTAATTTTAAAGAAAAATGTAACCAAGGACATCAGGGTAAACAAATTTTATTGTTAAATTAAAGATTATTTATTTTTTTAGGAAGGAGGGAGGGAGGAGAAGGAAGGAAAGAAACATCAGTATGTGGTTGCCTCTTACAAGCCCCCATTTGGGGACCTGGCCGGCAACCCAGGCATGTTCCCTGACTGGGAATTGAACTGGTGACCCTTTGGTTTGCAAGGCAGCACTCAGTCCACCGAGCGATGCCAGCCTTGCAAGGCTTATGATTATGATTATTTTTATTTTTAGAGAGGGGAAGGGAGGGAAAGAGACCAGAAGAGAAACATCAGTGTGTGGTTACCTCTCCCCCTCCCCCTCCTGAGGACCTGTCTTGCCTTGTCACCAGAAAGTCACTAGGACCCTGGAGAGGGCTTGATATTCTGAGACAATTGAACAGAATCTGAAGGGACAAGACAGGTATGTGAATTTGGATAACCACCAGATACTGAATGTATTTTCCCAGGGTCCTTCTGGCACTTACCTGGTACCTTTCATAAAACCACTTAGGTAACATAACTTTCATGATTTATATTGGATCCTGAGATTGAGATGAGCAGTCTGAGCAGAGCAGGTGGGGATTTTACTTCCTGGTGTGATTGTTGGGCCTGCTGCTGAGACCAGCAAATCATTGGCGTAGCATTCAGAAGATGCTGGAGCCTGAGAGGAAGGACCTGCCCAACAGATTCAGCAACGTGAATGTTTGGCATTCTTGTGATCCAGATATCTAAGAGCAAGTTTAATTCATTAAGTCCTGGAAGCTCAGATATGGATGTTGTATCTGAAGTCCCAGGATACGAATGTTCCTTCTCCAACATGAGGAGTCCGCAGGGGTTGTGTGGTCTTGTCCTGCTGGAGACAACACCCATTGAGAATCACAGGCGGGAAGATGGATTTGTGTGCAGGAAATGGGAGGGCAGTATGAATACGCACTGTGTTCTGAGAGGTACCCTGTGCTTTAGCAAGTCACAAACCTGATACTCCAAGGACCCGAGAACTGGGCTCATTTGAAATGAGAACCTGAGACCTTTCCTCCTGAAATGATTCTCATAATCAGAGTCTAGTGATAACTAATGAAAATGTGTGTAAGTCCCACCTGAAAGGAAGTGTTGGAATTGCAGTTTCTGGGTCCATCTTCAGAGAGTCCACTTCCTCAGGCTGAGGGGCAACCTAGACATTTGCATAGTCCGAGGGCAGTTTTGTAAAATTTTAAAATTTAAAGTGGGTATGGTTTTGGAGAGGGAAATAATTTATTGTTCCACTCACGCATTGCTTGATTCTTATATGTGTTCTGACCAGAAATTGGACCCACAATCTTGGCATATCAGGGCAATGCTCTAACCAACTGAGCTACCCAGCCAGGGCTAAGGACACTTTCTGTAGCTATATTTTTTTCTGAAAGATTTTTTAAATTTATTTATCTTTAGAGGGGAAGGGAAGGAGAGAGGGAGAAAAATATCAATGTATGGTTGCCTCTCGTGTGTCCCCTGCTGGGAACTGACCTGCAGTCCAGGCATGTGCCCTGACTGGGAATCGAACCACGATCCTTTGGTTCACAGCCCGTGCTCAATCCACTGAGCTATACCAGCCAGGGCTCTATAGCTATATTTTTTTTAATTTTGAAAAGAGTAATCTCTAAATTGTATATTCATATATGTTTCATTTGGTTTCACTTAAATTTGTGATCAGGTAAAAAGGAGACCCAAAAAAGAAACCACACCCACTTCATGTAAGTGCTGAACTGTATTTTTTTAAATTGATTTGATTTGTCTTTTTAAGTTCATTTTTTATACCTCCTTTCCCATAATCACCACACTGTTGTTTGTGTCCATGAGTTACTTTTCTTTAGGAGGGCAGGCTGCTTTGAACAAATCCATCCTCCCTCCCCACTTCAAAATACAGGTACCAGAATAATCCTAAACATATTTTTGATACAACTAGCAGTGGAATGATTGCGGACCCAGAAGACAATCCGCAATCCAGAGGTTTTCCACAAGATTTCATGGGATTCCACATATAGTTGTATGCCTGGCTTAGATTTATTGCAGTAATATACCAAGGATAAGTAGTTTATGCATAAAGGAAAAAACATGAAGTCTGGGGGAATCCATGTGCAGGTTTTAATTGCTCTCCCCTCCTTTGAAGTGGTCACACAAAGCAGCGGGGACCAGGCAATAAGACACCGTCTGCCCAGCATGGACCAAAGGCCAGACTCCCAGTAGTAGAGTGGGTTCAGTGTAAACTGGGTTGTTGTTTATGGGTTTGCTTTGGTTTTTGTTTTTATTTTTCATAGTCTAGGCACAGTGAAAAGGCACCATTCTGAAAGCCGGTTTTGCAAAAAGGACCTAAACTGTGCAACCTCAGGCCTGTTGTATTTATCCTTTTTTTCATAAGCTTTCATATCTCTTCAAATATGAATGCAATTAGCCTTATTCACCGTACCTGTTGCATTAAGCTGCTTAAACTGCAGCTCTGGCTACACATGTGGAGGATGTACATGGCTTATACAGTTCCTGCTTCAGATTGGTTTTCAGGAACATGTCACAACTCAGTATTCTTGGCATTTCTTGCCTTGATTCTGTCTTGTAGACATGGATCCCATTTTGACTGCTTTAGGCTTAGCTTAAAAGCCACGGTCTTGATAATGTAAGAGAGAAACATCAGTTGCCTTCCAAGCTGGGACTGAACGTACAACCCAGGAATGTGCCTGGACTGGGAATGAAACTTGCAACCTTTTGGCAGACAGGATGATGCTCAAATAACACACCTGGCCAGCATGCAAAACATTTTTTAAAAAGTTTTAAACAGTGATGACTTCTTAAACTAAGATGCTTGTGGTACAAAGAAGGCAGAAGGGAGAGACATTTAAGGGGTAAAATTTCCAAAGCCAGGATCACATTGATGTTACTACCCAACATTCACTTCTTGCCAGTCCAGGAGTTCATTGGAATCAGCTGGGTGATTGTTTTCACTTAGGGTCACTCATGCAGTTTCAGACATAGCGACTGCTAGAGTCCTGTGGAGACTTCAGCAGCCAAGATGGCCCACTCTAAGGCTGGAAGTAGACGCTGACTGCCAGCTAGGAACTCAGCTTGGACTGTTGGCTGGAGCACTCACATTGGACTACTTCGCATGACCTGGGCTGTTGTCAACAGGGTGACTGGATTCCAAGAGGGAGTATCCCAGGAATGAGCATTTCAGCTCCTTATGATATAGCCTCATAAGTCATACATCATCATTTGACCTTATTTTATTAGATAGCTAGTCAGGGTCTGCCCAGAGTCAAGGGGAGGGGAAATAAATTCCACTTGTCAATGGAAAGAGTGACAAAGAATTTGGGGCCATGTTTAGTTCACAACAGAGCCTCAATGTAATAGAAAAGGAGGAATATAGAGTAACACTGAGATTATGACAGATGACTGAGTAGCTTGAGGTGACATGAAGAAGCAAACTTCGAATACAGGAACACTGTGTGTGCTTCCACTCAGGTTATATTGAGGTACCTAAGGGACATCAAAGTGGAGCTGCCCACGTTAAAATGTTACCCAGGGTCAGGGAAAGCCTTGAAATATGTCATTACTGAAGTCTCACAAGAAGGTATGAAAGTGTGTTCTTTGAGCTTGTAGAGATCACTTGCTGTGATTTTTTTTTTCCCCAGAGACTTTACCCCTAAACATCTCCATGTCTCCCTCTCTGATCTCCAGTCCTGGGCTCACATGTCCCTTCCTCAGTGAGTGGTTTTTCAAGCATATAGGGAAGTGGTGTGAGCATGCTGTAAAGGCACTTTTTAAGTCTTTTTTTACACTGAGTTTATCCATCTGTTTAGAGAGAAACATTGATTTTGTTCCACTTGCCTCTCACATGTCCCCTGACCAAGGATTGAACCCACGACCCTGGCATGAGGGCCAACCAACTGAGCAACCTGACCACCTGACCAAGGCAGGGTTTTTTATTTATTTTTAGAGAGAAAGGGGAAGGAGAAAGAGAAACATCAGGTGCCCCCCCCCCCGGGAGCCGGGCCTGGCCTGCAACCCAGGCATGTGCCCTGACTGGGAATCGAACTGGCAACCCTGTGGTTTGCAGGCCTGTGCTCAATCCACTGAGCTACTCCAGCCAGAGCTTACTGGTTGATTTTAGAGAGGGAGAGAGAAACATTGATTTGTTGTTCCACTTATTTATGCATGTGTTGGTTGATTCTTGTAAAAAAATATATATATATACAGCTTTATCTAAAAAAGAATAAATAAAAATAATGACACATGTTTTAATACAATACCCAATTTTCACAAAATTACAAGACGTCTTCAGTCTTAAATTGAGGGTGCCAAACGGTTTTTGTAGGTTCTTTCCATCAATATTTCCCTTATTACATATAAAGATGAAAAAAATAATATTTTTTAAAATATTGTGTTAATGTTTGAACGGTGCCCCCTGGGAATTCACATATTGAAGTCCTAACCCCATAACTCAGAATGCAACCTTTGAAATAGTGTCTCTACAGAGGTGATTAAAACCTCACTAGGGTGAGTCCAGCTCCCGTATAATTGGCATCCTTACAGAAAGAGGAAATTTAAAGACAGGCACACGGTCTTGTTTTGTCCCCTTGTATTTAACCCACAATACCCTTATTGTTAGATATATATTTAATATATTTATACTATATATGTGCATTGAATGTATATATGCACATTAAATGTATATATACACATAATGTTTGTGTGTATATACCTACATTAAACTCTCACCCGATACATTTTAATTGATTTTGGAGAGAGCGAAACCGCTTGGTTGCTTTCCGAACCCCCCCGCCCTTCCCCGTCCCCACTGGGATCAACCTGCAACCTAGGTATTTGCCCCTCTGGGAAGAGCAATACCGAAACTGCAGTTCCCTGGTGTTCGGGAGGACGCTCCCATGAATGGAGCCACCCGCACAGGTTAACAAATAATTTTAAAGGACAAAGTAGTAGGAACCCCCAAGATAAAAGGGGAGAGCGTCAGGAATGACTTTACATCAGCCCATTCCGTCCCATCGTATAAACTGCTCCGAGGGGGCAGTCAGGCAAAGCCTGCCGTCAGAGCAGACGGGAAGGCCGCTACCCAGAGGGCCTTCATCACTTGAGAGGGCCTTGGCCCAAGTTCCCCCACAGGGTCTCTGGAATCACCGCCCGCAGCTGCTGCAGGACACCCTTAGCCGGAAGCCGTCGGGCGGAGGCTCCCATTGGCCTGAAGCCAAGAGGCTTCCATTGGTCTGAGAAATAAGGAGCAAAGATTCCATTGGTTGAGCTTTACGGTGCGCCGCCTGGCCCTCTGGGAGATGTAGTCCCAGTGTCCCCGGCTCGACCGCCATTGTCCAGCTTTCAGCGAGTCGAACGGTCGAGGTAGTGCAGACGACTCTCGGGTTTATATTCGTACCGGACCCCTCTCCTCGACCTGTCGGTCTAGAATGGATCCCGAGGAGGGGGCGGCCGCTTTGGCAATGGCTACGGGGCCTCCGACGGAACGGCTTCAGGTAATAATTACAATAATGGTGACAGTGGGCCCGTCCAAGCGTCTCCCTCAGATATTGACCCTGCTCGCGGTGAGCGGGGCCTGGGGGTTATCCCGCGTTACATGCAAGGAAACTGAGGCGCAGGTCGGCACGCGCCGAGTGGCACCGCTGCTACTGGGAGGGGCCGGGATTCGAACTATGGATCTCTGGTCCCCCACTGCTGGTGCTCATTGGGTCCTCTCGCCAATACCCTTCCCTCCACCCCGAAGGCCGAACCCCGAGATGATGGGTAATCGGTACTGTCGACTGAAGATGCTCTGATGCGTGGAGTCGGTACAGTGCATGGCTCCGTGCAGCCCGGGCCTCCGGGCGGGGCTTTACCTGGAGGGAGGGAGGAGAGATCACCGTGCGCCCCTCCCCCACCCCCCACCCCCCCGTTAGTGAGGCGGAACTGCGACAAAGGTCCCCGCGGGGCTGTGGGGACAGCAGTGTAGGGCAGCCAGCGCTTGCAAGCCCCTCAGGGAAGGCCCCCATCCACAGCACCAGCAATTCTAGACAAACTGGCCGCTGCTGATGTCCTCCTTAAAGTGCTCTTTCTCCACGCTGGTATAATTCCGGCCGCTCGTATCTTCGAACTAATGTTTCCTGTCTTTTTTCTTTTAATCCTCACCTGAGGATATGTTTATTGATCTCAGAGAAGAAGGGAGAGAGAGAAACAGATCAGCTGCCACCCATACATGCTCCAACTGGGGATTGAACCAGCAAACTTTTGGTGTACGGATAATGCTTCAACCAAGTGACCCCCACCTGGCCACTTCCTGTCTTTTGTTTGTTTGTTTGCTTGTTTGTTTGTTTACAGGGGTTGGCAGTGTTTCCGATTTAGTATGCAAAGTGAGACCATAAATTATCTTAGCTTTGCATGTTTTAGAATGTGTGTTGTTGCAGATCTTCATGAAAATGCAACCACATTTTAGTTTGCTTTGGCTGGGGGTGCTGGGGCAGAGAGTGAGCAGTGTCAGAGAGAGTCAGAGGTAGACAGTAATTAAAGCAGCAAACACAGATTTTATTCAGAACTCTTGCAGTAGAAGGAAAGAGACTTCATTGTAGAATTAGGCTCAATTCTGAACCCAACAAGAAAATGGGGAATTATAGTGGGTGAGAGAAAGGGTTCTTGCTGAAGCAGAGCAGGTGATCATGTTACTGAGGCAGTTGTGGGCGAGGAGAACTTTAAAAAGGTATGAGGAGTGACGACGTATGGAGAAGGGGGATCCCAGCAAAACCGACTTGACAGGATTTTTGGTAAAACTAGGTGATGTATAAATGGGCACAGAAGCCTAAAATCAAGGTTCAGATGAGAAGAGTGTTCAGAGGAGCCAGACTAAGATTTGGTCAAGGTGAGAGCCTTTATCAGCAGTAAGAGAGGCTTAGGAGGAAATGTATTAGTTACCTGTTGCTGTGTAACAAATCAAAAAAACATATCGGCCTAAAACAATAATAAATACCTCACAGTTTCTTTTTTTATATACTTTAATGTTTGGGGGTTTTTTGTGTGGTTTTTTTTTTTAGATTTTGCTTATTTATTTATTTATTTATTTATAGAGAGAGGGTAAAGGAAGGTGAAAGAGACAGAGAAACATTGATGTGTGAGAGATACATCCATCAGCCTGCAACCCAGGCATGTGCCCCGACCAGGAACCGAACCAGAGACATTTTGGTTTGCAGGCCAGTACTCAATCCACTGAGCTATACCAGCCAGGGAAGTTTCTTTCTTTCTTTTTTTTTTTATTCAAAAAGATTTTCTTTTTAGAGAGAGGAGAAGGGAGGGAGAAACAGAGAGAGTGAAACAGTGATTCTTTGCTTCTTACACATACCCAACTGGGGACCCAGCCCACAACCCAGACATGTGCTCTGACCAGGGGACCCTTCACTTTGCAGGAAGACACCCAGCCCACGAAGCCATATCAATCAGGGCATCTCACAGTCTCTGATGATAGGAGTCCTGGAATGACTTAGCTGATGGGCCTTCTGTGGGCTTTTGACATTACAATCAAGATGTCAGCCTGGATTTCTGTCCCCTGAGATTTGACTAGGTCTGGAGGATCTACCTGCAAGATGGCTCACTCAGGTGACAGTTGGCAGGCCTTAGTTCCTTCCAACATGGGACTCTGTGGAGCTGCTTAGGTGTTCTTACAACTTGGCATCTGGCTTCCCACACAGCGACCGATCCAGGAGAGGGCCTGGTGGAAGCCACAATGCCTTTTGTGACCTGAGGTCAGAATTCCCACTCTCACATTTCCACAGAATTCCCCCTCTTCAGTGTCCTATCAGTGACACAAGTCACTGCTTCATATAGGAGGGGACCACAAAAGAGTTGGGGCTCATGGGGGTGCATTTTGGAGGCCAGCCACTGCAGGAGGCAAAAAGCAAAGTGGAGGGTGTATTAGCTTCATATAGTTGCTGTAACATTACCACAAACTTGGTGGTTTAAAACAATGCACATTTGTCCTTACATTCTGGAGGTCAGAAGTCAGAGGTCGTTGGCACTGGGCTGAAATCAGTGTGTGGCAGAGCCAGGCTTCCTGTCAAGGCTCTAGGTAGGAGTCACCTTTTCCTAATGTAGACCTTGCTTTCCTTGGCTCCTGGCCCTTTGTCCCTCTTCAGAGTCAGCAGCTTAGCGTTTTGCCTTAGTGATCATATTGCCTTCTTCCCTCTGTAATGAAATGTCCCTCTGCCTTGCCCTTAGAAGCACATTTATGACTGCATTTAGGGCCCACATGGATAATCCAGGATACTCTCCCCATTTTAAAATCCTTAATTACATCAGCAAACTCCTTTCTGCCATTTACGGTAACATTCAGAGGTTCCCAGATATACTTGGGGGTCATTATTCAGCCAACTGTAGTCAGGCTTTGGGGTCTGTATCCAGTGATGAGTCATTCAGGTGTTTTAAGGAGGAATGGCATGGGTTTGAGAAAAACCAGTCAATAATATAAGGGTGAGGGTAGGAGAGACACTGAGAAGTAACTAAAGCACTGGAGGGAGGGAGGTTGGGGACAATGACGGTGCTGGCCAATGCCAGGGTGGCCTGGTCAGATGGGGAGAGTGTTTGAGTCTGAGGCAGGCCATCCCTCCAGGCCCCAGCAGTGCAGAGCAAGAGGAGGGGTACAGGGGCTGATGTAGAGCAGCGGGGACAGTCACAAGACAGCAAGGAGCAGCCTCCTGCTAGAATCCCAGGAGGAGGCACAAAGAACTCACGTGAGGTCTCGTGGCCTGAACGGAACAGTGGTTAGTGCGTGTGGTACCTGGGGTTTTATTGGCAACCCATGCAGAGTAGGCGATGGAGGGTAGGGGCAGGAGGCGCAGGGAGCATGTATCAGGGTTGGAGGACCTTCTGAGTGGGAGGTGAGGACAGCAGGACAGGAGCAGAGACCTCTGTGTCCAGTCAAAAGGCTCAGCAAGTTTTCTGCACAATTTTTGTCACAGCCACATGTCACTCTGTACTATAATTTCTTCAATATTTCAAAATCCTTTTTCTTTTCTTAAAAAAGATTTTATTTATTTTTTAAAGAGGGGGGAAGAGAGAGCTACAAGGAGAAAACCATTGATCGTGAAAGAGACATTGATGAGTTGCCTCTCTCATGCCCCCATCCACACACCTGGACTGCAACCCAGGCATGTGCTCTGACAGGGAATCGAACCAGTTACACCAAGGCTCTACTTGGGGTTTTTGTTTTGTTTTTGTTTACAGAAAATACCTTTTAAAAATTTTGGTATTGGAGCCCTGGCTGGGTGGTTCCGTTGGTTGGAGCATTGTCCCATGCACCAAAAGTTCGTAGGTTCGATCCCAGTTAGTGCACGTACCTACGTTGCAGGTTTGGTCCCCCATTGGGCGTCCACTGATCAGTGTTTCTCTCCCTCCCTTCTTCCCTTTCTATCTAAAAACCAATAAACATATGCTCAAGTGAGGATTAATAAAAAAGAAAAGGTATTTGATATATGATTTCGATTTGCATCTTTATTTGAATATTTTCTTGTGGTTATTTACTAATTTTTTTATGTCTCCTTTGATATCTTCTTTTATATTTTCTTCATTTTACTTAGGTTGCATCTATTATTGATTTGTAAGAGTTCTTTGTATCTTCTGGATACAAGTCTTACCAGATGTGTGATTCGCAATAAGTATCTCCCATTATGTGGGTGTCTTTCCATTAGCGTACCCTCTGGAGCACACAAATTTTTTAATCTTGATTAAGTTCAATTTATTTATTGCTAGTGCTTTTGAGAATCCTTTGTAAGAATCCTTTCCCAATTCCAAAGTTATGAAGATTTATTCTTGTGTTTTTTCAAAAAGTTTAATAGTTTCAGCTTTTATATTTTAAGTTTTTGATCCATTTTGAGTTTTTTATATATGGTGTGAGGTAGGAGACTGGCTTTATTCTTTTGCATGTGGCTGTCTGGTTGTCCTGTAGAAAGTGTTTTACAGCCACTTAGTCCCCTTCATAGCCTCCAAGGGGACAAGGAAACAAGGCAGCATACTTGGGTTTCTGCTCTGTGCCTCTTGAAGAGGAAGTGACAGAGCCAAGACTCTGATCCAGAAATATCTAGCTTTTCACCATGGCCACAGCCGGTCCACAAAAGAATTATGTTTGTAGGATATTTCTTCTCACCAGAGATTAGCAGTTCTGACCCCTTAGGGCCTGTATTTTCCCAAGATCAGTTGTTTCTGAGTCCTGGTGCCCTTTTAGACTGGGCACATGTAACCTGTCCCCTCCGGTGTCACCTCTCTCAGGTTAAATACCCTGGTAGGCTCTTACACTGGCCCGCTTCAGTCACTTGTGAGCCTAAAGGCAGGTGATTTCTCTTAATTATACACCCCTCTTTTCAGAGAGGATGACAAGCCTTGCTTTGAATCTAAGGATTAATGTATCGGTTAACTATAGCTGTATAAGAAACTATCCCAAACCTAGTGCCTTGAGACAGTAACCATTTCTCTAGCCCACAGATCTACAAGTCAGCAGTAGAGAGAGGCCACCCGTCTGAAGTCGATTGTAGGTCGGCTGTGGGGTGCTTTTGGTCTTATCTGGATACTCTCACGTTTCTTCTCTGTATAACTCACACCTACATGCAGCAGCCCAGCAGGTGCCCAGCCAGCCTTGACTCGCATTGCCCAGAACATGCACTCTCTCAGGACACTGGCCCACACATTTCCCCCTTCCCCCTTCCTCCTCATCTTTCTGAGAGTACTGATGGGGACAGTCTGGCTGATTGACCATGTGTGATGTTTCAGGAGCCAGTGACCTTCCGGGACGTGGCTGTGGACTTCACTCGGGAGGAGTGGGGGCAGCTGGGCCCTGCCCAGAGGTCCCTGTATCGTGACGTGATGCTGGAGACCTTTGGGCATCTGCTCTCTGTGGGTAAGGCCTGCTTCCCAAGCTGACAGGCAGATTCCTGCAGTCACTTACTCTTCATGGCTTATAGGTTGTAGGGCCTCTGGTATGAAGACTTGACCTGGGGCTCAGGGACCTTGGGTTCTCCTTCCCTGTAGGACACGTGGACGGCGGGGGGGGTGTCTGCCCTTTTGTGTCCCGTTGCAAAGTCTTCGCTGTGTTGTGAGATGTCCCCATGTCCTAATGGTCAGGAGTAGGGGCTGGAGGCTGGGCTGGTTCTTTCTGTCCAAAGTAGAACCCACGTTCCTTGTTTCTCCGTTTCTAGGACCCGAGCTTCCCAAACCTGATGTCATCTCCCAGCTGGAGCAAGGAACTGAGCTGTGGATGGTGGAGAGAGGAATTGCCCAGGGACGCTGTCCCGGTGAGAACCCACCAGACGTGGTGTATTGGGATCCTGAGACTATCTGTATGTAGATCAGTGATCACAGCGAAAGGTTAAGGGGGAAGTTGGAAAGGGGAAAAGGCGGGGGGGGCGGGGGGACACGTGAAGTCCAGAGGAAGCCCGGCCCAAAGTCTCTCCCCCAGTGGGGCTGAGTCTGTGGTGGTTGCTGCAGCAGCCAAAGAAAACAGGCTCACCTTCACCTCACTGCACTGTACGAGGGGAGCGTGTGTGTGTCTAGAGGATTTTGTAATGGGGGTTCCCCCAAGCTGTCCTGAAGACAGGGGCACCTCCACTTGGAGGTGGCCTAACTTAGATTTTTCTAGAACCGATCTGCTTGTCTGCCCTGCTCTCAGCCTGCTGCTTCCATGTCTCATTCAGTCTGTGCGCCCAGCTCCTGATGGTGGGGTTTTCTGTCTGTGGGGTCACTGCTTTATCCCCAGCATCTGGGATCACACAGTAAATGCTGTGGGCTTCATGGGCTGCATGCAGTTTCTGTATTTGTTTTCTGTCACAACAGATTACTATGAACATAGCAGCTTTAAACAGCATACATTTGTTTTTCTCACAGTTCTGTCAGTCAGACCTGAGTGCTTTGTCTGCTCCTGGACAAAGTTAAGGTGTCAGCCTGGCCCAGGGGCCGTACAGAGAGGCTTAGGAAGACATCACATCTAGGCATCCAGCCTCCACCAGGTTGCTGGCAGAATTCAGCTGTGTGTGTCCTTAGACTGAGGTTTCTGTGTTCGTCCAAGGGTTGTCCCCAGCTCTGAGAGGCCCCTGCACAGCTGCCTCTTACCCCACCTGCCTCTTCTGCTCACAAACATTGAGAGGATGCTTTGGGCCTGCCCACATAACCCAGCATCATGTCCCTCAGCTGATGAGTGACTTTCTTTCAAGAATTTTTTTAAATTTATCTTTAGAGGGGAAGGGAAGGAGAGAGGGAGAGAAATATCAATGGATGGTTGCCTTGCGTGCATCCTCTGCTGGGAACTGGCCTGCAACCCAGGCATGTGCCCTGACTAGGAATCGAACTGTGATCCTTTGGTTCACAGGCCCACGCTCAATCCACTGAGCTATACCAGCCAGGGCCTGATGAGTGACTTTCATGTCACCTACAGAACCTCTTCACAGCAATATCTACATGACTAATTGAACAGCAAGGGGACAGTGTTGGAATTCTTACCTGTCTCTGTCGCATATTTTTTTTCTACAGCCCTTTAAAAACATACAAACCTGATCACATAAGTTACATAATGTCTAATCACTGGGTTGTACACCTGAAACTAATAATATTGTGTGTAAACTGTAACTGAAAAATTAAAAAACTATTTAAAGTAAAACAAAACAAAAAACACATATACACGTAAAAACCATCTGTAGCTTGGGCACTTTCTTTTCTGGGTTCTGATATAGGCCTGAACCTGACCCGTGGCAGGTGCTCAGGAAATATTTGTTGAGATGATGAACTGATGAAGCTGTGTTTGCTGACAGGGCACTTGGTGTTGACATAAAAGCAGAACCAACATCTGCCTGGAGGCAGAGCAGGTAGTCGGGAAGCGGGCTTGGCTGTCAGAGGTTTGTCCCTTCGTGTGTTTCCCGCCAACCTCTCAGAACTCTGGTTTCTTTCAGGCCGGGAGCCTGGACCTGAAAACCAAGCGCCAGCCACAGAGCAGGGCCTTCTTGCAGAGGAGCTGTCCTGCATCGTGGAAAGGGAAGGCTTCCTGGGGGACACTGCCTGTCTCACCACTCAAGGAGGAGGCTGGGACTGTGAGGGCCAGGTCAAGGTGCCCGAGAAGGATCAGGATAGTTCCAGGCACTTGGAATTTTGCCTTGAGGAGGCACCAGTTCAAGATAAAAGCTATGAAAGTCTCACACTTGGGGAAACCTGTCTCCCAAGTTCCAACCTCAACCTGTTCCCAGAGATTCCTCAGAGAGAAGATTTCTGTACTTCAGACTCACAGGTCGCAGATTCAGAGGGTCAGTCACACTCTGTCAGTCAGCAGACATGCTCTTCAGGCGAGCAGCCAGGTGACAGTGGTGACTGTAGTAGTACAGCCTCCCATCTGGCTGTTCCCGAGGCAGAGCTCACACCAGGCCCCGTGCAAGAAAAACCCTACAAGTGCTCGGACTGCGGGAAGTCCTTCAACCACAATGCGCACCTCACCGTGCACAGGAGGATCCACACAGGGGAGAGGCCCTACATGTGCAAGGAGTGCGGGAAGGCCTTCAGCCAGAACTCCTCGCTGGTGCAGCACGAGCGCATCCACACGGGAGACAAGCCCTACAAGTGTGCAGAGTGCGGGAAGTCCTTCTGCCACAGCACGCACCTCACTGTGCACCGCAGGATCCACACTGGTGAGAAGCCCTACGCGTGCCAGGACTGCGGAAGGGCCTTCAATCAGAACTCCTCGCTGGGCCGCCACAAGCGGACCCACACTGGAGAGAAGCCATATACCTGCAGCGTGTGTGGGAAGTCCTTCTCACGAACCACATGCCTGTTCCTACACCTGCGGACTCACACTGAAGAGCGGCCCTATGAGTGCAACCACTGCGGCAAGGGCTTCCGGCACAGCTCCTCGCTGGCACAGCACCAGCGCAAGCATGCTGGGGAGAAGCCCTACGAATGCCGCCAGAGGCTGATCTTTGCGCAGGCAGCTGCTCTCTCCAAGCACGAGTGGGCCTGCGACACGCCTGTGAATCCAGGGGAGAGGGCTCAGCGGAGTGACAGGCCCTTCAAGTGCAGTCAGTGCGGCAAGTGCTTCATTCAGAGCTCACACCTCATCAGACACCAAGTGACTCACACCAGAGAAGAGCCTCGCGGGCGTAATCGGAGGCGGAAGGAGCAGCCCCTGGGCCGCAGCTCTCAGCACGTGCACGCAGGTGAGGACCCTGGGGGCAGGCCGAAGGCAGGACAGCCTGCGAGCAGGGCACTTGCCCTCTTTGACATCCATGAAGTCATGCAAGAGAAAAACCCAGTGCACGTTATTGGGGTAGAAGAAACTTCAGCGGGCACTTCCGTGTTGTTGGACGTCAGAGACTCCACATAGGGAGAAAGTGCAGATAACTTTGAACCGCAGGTACATAACTTGTAACTCCACGTGGGCTGTGCACCAACAGGGTCCCTGGGGGTAAGAAGGCCCAGGGTGACCTCTGACTTCCTAGGAAAGATGCCTTCCTAAACACCTGAGATTGGTGGTCCTCAGATCCATCAAGCTTGGTGCCTCCTTTAACCAGATATATTGTACTGTTCCCTCCATGACCCTGAAATGAATTTTAAACATAAGGTCAAAAAAGTCATCCTATAGCCGTGTTTTGTAAAGGATAATTAAAACAAAAGCAAATTATGATGGAGTAATGTGTACTGAGTTGGTGCGGAGTCTCTCCATGACGGGCCGTTACTCTGCAGACCCAGCACTGTCTGCTGATTGATGTTTGGTTCGCAGGGTCTGGGGTTGGTCACGGAAATGCTGTGACGTGCAGTCCTATGTGGGATGTGACTTTCAGTGGTGACTCGCTATTGGAAAAGTTTTGAGCAAAACAAAACGCCATTGCATTTCTGTAAAATTCTGTATAAAGTTCTCAGCATGCAGGAATTAATGTGTGTTTACATGTGAAGTCAATTGAGGGTGTAAGTTTGTACTTACAAACAGATTGTTTCATCATACACACAGGGTGTCCAGGGAGCAGTCTACATTTTACAGACATTAAAGTAGCATGGCTCCAACTCACCTGTCAGCCACTCTCATGCCCAACTCAAATGACAAAGAAGCCCTGTGAAAATCCACAGCATTCCTTGGGGGCATCAGCCCCACTGAAAACCATTTCAACAGCTAGCGTTGCTGTAAGCGTGAGGTTCTTCATCAGCGTGATTTTGCATCCCAGAAGACGTTCCATAATGTCTGGAGATATTTTTGTCTGTCATGACTGGCAGAAGGGAGGGATGCCACTGGCATTTAGTGGGTTTAGGCCAGTGATGCTGTTCAACATCCTATAATGCCCAAAACAGTCCCCTTGGCAGAATTCTCTGGACCCACATGTACCAAGGTAGAGACACTATGCCCAGCAATACAGCCGTTTTCCAAAATGTAAATTAGTTGATTGGGCCTATGTACTAATAATCTTCAATATTTTATTTTAACAAATGGTATCATTAGCTAGTTAATGCACAATATAGTTTTTAGGGAGTTTTTTTGTTTGTTTTTACCATTTTGTAGTATTTATAATTGGTGTGGAGAAAGGAAGAGAATCCACTTATTTTTCTGAGTAATCCAAAACATGGACATTATATTTTCACTGGTATCTCCACCTGCCAAGAATTCTGTTCACATGGGTCTTAGAAATCATGTCATTTCATCCACTTTTCTGAACATATCTCTACAAGGCAAGGACTTTAAAATTATGTATATAATATATGTATAATGACCCTGTTGGTCCATGGGGACAAAATCATATTCATAATCATACTAAGCCATAATTTGCCTTATTCACAGTGTTGATATTTGCATGGAGAGTGGGTAAAACTGCTGGGGCCTCAGTGCGAATGAGGGCAGTGAACCCCAGGTGGTGGCTTGTAGTCTTCCTCACCAGGCTTGGCAATCAACAACAACAAAAAATGCTCACATCACTTAGCAATATATGTGATGGAACAGGAAAAATGATCAGTTTTATAAAATTTCAACTAAAACTAAGCTATTATCACATCTAAGCAGAAATAGCAGGAGTTCCTCAATATATCATCAAATGTCTAGTGTTCAGAAATTTCTGGTTGCCTCATGAATTGTTTTGTCTTTGGTTTGTTCTAATCAGGATCTAAACAAGATCGACACAGTGCATTTGGTTGATTTTTGTGGGTCTCCTTGAACCTGTAGGTAGGCTTCCTCTCTTTTTTTTAAATTCTCTCCCTAGGATTTGTTTATTGGTTTTTAGAGAGAGAGGGAGAAAAAGAGAGAAAAACAACGTGAGAGAAACATCAATCGGTTGCCTTCGATATGTGTCTGACCAGGGATCAAATTCACAACCTCTCGGTGTTCTGGATGACACTCCAATCAACTAAGCCACCCAACCAGAGCCTTCCCTCTTTCTCTTCTAGTCTTTTATTTGTTCTGGGACAAAAAAAAATTAGTTGCCCTCTTCAGCCTGTCCATCAGATGCTCTTTGCTTTGGCCTGGTGGAGCTCCTGATTTGGCATCACATCGTCCACCACCAGGTGTCCTTGGGTGCCTTGTGGATTGTGTGGCTCCCACTTTGGCAGGGATCTCTGCCAGAGGTCCCAGTTATCAGTGCCAGGTAAAATGAGACTTCTGAGAAAATAGTTTATTTCTGTATCACGCAGGGCATGTTAACATGACTATTAATGTCCACAGTTGCAAACCTCACCTCAATCATCTGCTTTTCTCCAGTTTTACACCAAGCCAAGCTCTGATCTCTGTCCATGCTGTCCACATAAAGAGCATTGTGATTGAGGTGTGATCCTTGGTATCTCATAGCCCAAGGTATATCCCTTGATATGTACCTTAAATTTCTTTTTTTTTAATTTATTTATTTTTAGAGGGGAAGGGAAGGAGAGAGGGAGAGAAATATCAATATATGGTTGCCTCTTGTGCATCCCTTGCCAGGAACTGGCTTGCAACCCAGGCATGTGCCCTGACTGGGAATTGAACCGCAATCATCTGGTTCACAGGCCTGCGCTCAATCCATTGAGCTACACCAGCCAGGGCTATACCTTAAATTCTTGACAAAAATCAAGAATTTAAACCTGCCTGCTTTCTAACCTACAGTGAAGCAAAAGGCAACCATCCATATGCTCCATCATACAGACTTTGCCTTTTTTCTTTGCTGTGCCGATTTCTTGGTTGGGTGTCATCCTGTACACCAAAAGGTTGTGCCCTGGTTCAATCCCCGGTCAGGGCACATATCTGGATTTTGAGTTCCATCCCAGGTCTGGGGGGGCGGTGAGGGGAACAGCTGGTCCATGTTCTCTCCCTCTCAAGAATCAGTGGAAATATACCTTCAGGTGAAGACTATTTTTAAAATTAATTTTTAAAAGATTTTAAAATTTTACTTATTTCTAGAGAGAGGGGAAGGGAGGGAGAAAGAGGGAGAGAAGCATCAATGTGTGGTTGCCTCCCACACGCCCCCAACCGGGGACCTGGCCTGCAACCCAGGCATGTGTTCTGACTGGGAATGGAACTGGCTACCCTTCAGTTCTCAGGCCAGGCTCAATCCACTGAGCCACACCAGCCAGGGAGGATTTTAAAAAATAAGTGCATAACCTGGAATCCAGGAGTCACCGGCTACAAGCTTCCACTTGTCCTCTCCCAGTAAAGTCATATAGCCCTCTTAATTCTCCCAGGAACACTGAGTGGGGGGTACCATAGGCTGTTGCCAACCTGGATGCTCTCCCGACTGTGGCCATATTTACTGGGGGTTGGTAACTTCCTAACCCCCAGTACATCTCAGAATTTGACTGTATTTGGAGATAGGGCCTTTAAAGAGGTAATTAAGGTTAAGTGAGTCATATGTGTGGGCCCTAATCCAATGACTCGTGTCCTCATAAAGGGAAATCTGGAGCAGACATGCACAATCACACAACCAGGTATCCACTGTGTCACACACTTACACCTGTTATCACCGTTACAGTCACTGTAGCAACATACAACGTCATCGTACACGGTTTGGGACCTTCATGCTGTTTCAGGCCCCCATCACCTCCATGTCTGTCTCACACCATCATATATTGTGACAGCCACATGCATCTACACAATTATTTGACATGGTGACTAAATACCCACACGTGGTCACAGAGAGTGCACACACACACCCCAACATCCAGGTAATAGGTAGTTACCCACGACAGACATGTGGAGTCACCTGTACATGGCCACAATGAGTCGCACACATTACACATGATACATGCCGCTCACACAGGCATCCGCACCCCTCACACACCCTCATCCCCTCACCATCGTCCCACACATCCCTTACGTCTATGCCCCATACACGGTTCCTCCAACCGCAGCATCCGCCCACCGCCCCAGCTCCGGAAAGGCCCGACCTACGGACAGCATGCCCGCCTAGACTACAATTCCCGGCGTGCCCTAGGCTGCTCGAGGGGCTCCTGCGCAGAACCTGGAAATTGTAATCCGGGTCGTAGCGGATTACACGTCACACGTACGTTGGGACGTGTGACAAAACCGGAGTTGAGGTCGTGGTGGGCTGCGCGGTGCATCCTGGGAGTTGTGGTCCTGGCGGCCGGTAGGCGCGGGCGAAGGGCTCTTTTGGTCCGGCGACCCCGGCGTCCGTTCTGCCAAGTGTCCTCTGGCAGCGCAGGGAGGTAGGTCCCCAAGGTTTCCCACCCGGCTCTGGGCGCCAGAGGAAGACCGCAGGTCCGGAAGCCGCGAACCCTCGAGGTGGCCTCGGGTGGAAGTGAGGGTCTGAGTGCGAGGCGCGCGAGCGCTGACACCCGTGAGTGTGCGGGACCAGGGGTGGCGGGTGCTGAGCACCTACAGACCGAGCATAGAACTAACTGCTGAAATGTGGGGCCCGCTGAGGAGATGAAGGGCGTGGGAGTGGCCGAGCAGTAGTGGCCTGTGCGGGAAGACCGAGCTACGGTGTCGGACACGTGTTGGGTGTGGGCTTGTGGCTGGCGGGCTGGGAGTGTGTGATCCACAGGTAGGATGAGCGTCTGACCGACCCGGTCCGGAGTGCGACTGACCGAGATGGCGGCTGTTTGAGGTTTGGTGGGTGGGTTTTGTGGTATGGTGAGAGGGTTTGTGTGTGACTATGTGTGATTTCAGGTGTGACTTGGAGTCTCTATAGCTGGCTAAGAGATTATGAATGCGGAATGATACTGTGCGATGGAGATGCTGTGAGATTGTGTGTTTAGTGACTGTGAGTGACAAATTGTATGTGCCCGGGAATATTTTGAGTTATGACTGTAGGGTGTGTGTATGTAGGCATGTGATAGACAGAGTGATTGGTTGATTGATTTATAAAACCTCACCTGAGAGTGTTTATTGACTTGAAAAAGAGAAAGGTAGAGTGAGGGAGAGAAACATCATGTGAGGGAGAAATATCAAATCAGTTGTCTCCTGGACGCACCCCGAAGGGGGGTCAGACATCAAACCTGCAAACTTTTGGTGCACAGAACGACGCTCCAGTTAGCTGAGCCACCCAGCCAGGGCTTGGCTGAGAAGTCAGAAATGAAAGAACCACTTTCTTCAATTGATTAAGGAGTTGTGGGCCTGGAGAACTAGGAGAAATAAGATGCAGAGCAGGATTTTAGGACAAGGGAATAACAGGGACTAAGAGGAATGGGGTCATGGCAAGGTGACCAGAGGCCCAAGTGAGCTTTACAGTGGAGTTAGGGGCTAGAACACAGCTTTGCCAGAGGTTGTCCACTGCCCCTGAAAGGTTTCCACATTGGGGTCTTGTTTTACTAATGTTGCTTCTCCCTGTGCCCATGGCCATGATTCCTTCAAAGGTCTCCTATACTTCTGTCCAGGTGGCTTCTCAGAGTTGGGACTCCAAGCAGCAGGAATATCAGGGCTGACATTAGATGGGAAAGAGAAAAAGAGCTATAAACAATTATACCTGTGGGAGTTGTGGGTGGAGGTGGGAAAGGAAGTCCTTGAGTAAGGGGGAGCCCATAGCCACAACACACATGCTTTGGGGTCTCCTGGGAAGGGTTACATTTCATTTTTTTCCTGACTGTAAAAGAAAAAAAAGATTCCCTGTGAAAAGCTATACAATGAAGATGCAGAGAAAAGCAGAAAAGACTTGTAGTATATAAGACCTTAACAAAGCTATAGATAAATTGGAATCCTTATCCACTGCTTGGTGGGAATATAAAATGCTGTAGCCACTTTGGAAAAACAGCCAGGTAATTTTTATTAATTTATTACTTTAAAAAAGTTATTTTAAAGTCAGAGAGAAACATATTTGTTATTCCACTTATTTATGCATTCATTGGTTGATTTTTTTAATTTTTAATTTATTTATCTTTAGAGAGGAAGGGAAAGAGAGAGGGAGAGAGACATCAGTGCATGGTTGCCTCTCGTGCGTCCCCGGCTGGGAACTGGCCTGCAGCTCAGGCATGCACCTGACTGGGAATTGAACCGTGATGCTCCGGTTTGCAGGCCCACACTCAGTCCACTGAGCCACACCAGCTATAAACAATTATACCTGTGGGAGTTGTGGGTGGAGGAGGGAAAGGAAGTCCTTGAGTAAGGGGGAGCCTATAGCTCATTGGTTGATTTTTATATGTGCCCTGACCGGGGATGGAACCCACAACCTTGGAATATCAGGACGACGCTCTAACAGCTGAGCTACCCATCCTTGGCAGCCAGGTGATTTTTTAAGTTAAGCACAGAGTTAATATATCACCCATCATTCATTGGGAATGGTGCTCACCACCAAGTGGGTTCTGTCCTGATTAGTTTGTGGATCCGTTTCTCTGTGAGAGTGAGTCACATCTCAGAGGCCCCAGGCCAGCCTGTGCCCCACTCCACACATGTGAAGCAGCACCCTAGGTTCCACAGTGACGAAGTTCCGATCTTTCTGCACACCCAGATCCAGGGCTCACTGCAGTACTGCTGCCTGATGGCCACTCAGGTGCCCCTGAGACTAGTGCCCTGGGAACAGGATGGCTTCCTGCAAGTGAAAGTAGAGGACGAGGAGACCAGCCTCTCCCAGATAGAGGAACGTGGCCTTGGCAACACAGTCCACCCTGAGGCTGCTCGTCTGTGCTTTCAGCACTTCCGCTATGAGGAGGCTCCAACCCACATGAGGCCCTGACCCAGCTCCGCAAGCTCTGCTGCCAGTGGCTACAGCCTGAAGTGCACTCCAAGGAGCAGATGCTGGACTTGCTGGTGCTGGAGCAGTTCCTGGGTGTGCTGCCCCCCAAGATCCAGTCCTGGGTGGGGCCCAGTGCCCCAAGAGTGACAAGGAGGTCGCCATGCTAGTGGGGGATGTGACTCAGGTGCTGGACAGGAGAGGTAAGGGGCAGTGATGGGCAGGTGTTTGTAGGACACCTCAGGCAAGGACTAGATAGGAATGGGGAGGGTTGGGGTCGGGGGTCCTTCAGCACTTGTCCTCCCATTTGTAATTCACCCGTACTCTCACACTGTGCTGTGCATATCTGTTTTTATGACTGAGGTGACTAAAGCAAAGTCAGAAGGCCTCATGGCTGTGTCCAAGTGTCGGTTGATAGCATCGGGACTCTTAGTTGTTCTATTTCTCAGTCAGTTTTTCTTTTGACAGCTTCTTTCTGAAGTCATTTCTTTCCCCAAAGGAGACAAAACCAGCCCAGCAGCCAGCCCCAGGGGCAGAACAGAGAAAGGCCCCTAGGCTGATCCCTGTGAACTGCTTGGGGTCTTATGTTTGTCTTTGGCCGCCCAGACCCCACAGAATGACGTGAGCAAAGGCAGCTCCCCAGAGGAAAACTAGACTGCTCACACCAAATGAGGACCCGGGTCTCTGGGGTGCAAGTGGAGGATAGAAACACTAGGTGTCGCTGCGCACTCCCTGCGAGTTTCCGCCCCCGTGCTAGCCTCCGAGGTCTGGGTGATCAGACCTGCGCTGGGCCCGAGCTGGCAGCATCACTTTGGGAGATCACTCAGATGTCCTGGCCCAGGGTGGTCCCATGGAACATAGGGAGGACCCAGCCCTGGGACAGTCCAGAGCAGGAAGTAAAGGCTCCTCCCATAAGGGGCCAGCCCCACCTGAAGGTAGCAGTGGTGGGGTGGGTGTCCAAGACACCCTCGCCTGGGTCTCAGTTTCCCTGTCAGAAACACAGTGAAGCTGAAACAAGCCAATGGATGTTACTGACTGCACCTGGAGATTAGTAGTGGCCAGCATCCCGAGGGGGCCCGCAGCCTCTATTCACTGTTTCTTACAGGTGAGGCCAGATGAGGGCAAGATTGCCCTGGGCCCAGGATCTTTCCAGTGGCAAGGCTGGTGCCCCCACCGGGGACTCGCCACAGTTACTCTTTGCACCCCCTCCTTCCTGGGATCTGTCTGGGAACTGGTGCCCTGTGCACCCATCAAGTGTAGGTTGCACCTCCACTGCGTAAACACAACCCAGTCTCCAGCTGCCCTGAGCCCCCTCTGCCAGTGCAGTACTTTAAAGACTGGGTCTCAGGCCTTCAGGCATGGAGAGGCCAGGCGGGCACATCGTACCCTTACAGCAGCAATTTTCCACTTGGGTTCAAGGTAGAGTCAAGTGTGGGAAATTTCACAGTCCCTGGCACCCAGGATTCACCCCTCATCCAGCCACAGCATCTGCAGACCCTCCCAGACCCAGGGGCCAGGCGATGAGTGCAAGCGACACTGAGGCCATCGGGGGGACACGAACAGCAATGGCAAGGACAGACCCCTGTCTGTCTCACTGTCTCACTCTCACTTTCTTTCAAATCAGTTCATTTGAGCCCAAATCAGGAGCCTTGAACAATGGAGTTTGGGGGATGAGGGGAGATCAGATGTTCTTAAAAGCGATGCAGCTTTTTTCTTTTTTAAAGATTGTATTTATTTATTCCCAGAGAAAAGGGAAAGGAGGAAGAAAGAGAGGGAGAAAAACACCAATGTGTGGTTGCCTCTCACACGCCCATTACTGGGGACCTGGCTGGCAACCTAGGCACATGCCGTGACTGGGAATCAAACCCGAGACCCTTTGGTTAGCAGGCTAGCACTCAATTCACTTAGCCACACCGGCCAGGGCAAAAGTGATGCAGCTTTTGATGATGTAGGAGACCAGCCACGTGGCCTGCGTCATCGAAGACACCAATGGAGACACTTCCCTGTGGAAACAAGGCCTCAGGCCAGGAGTGGCCCTTGTGACCCTTTGTAGAGTGACGACAGGCCAGTGCAGGAAAGGCAGGTGTGGGGGAAGGGCTGACGCTGTCGTTTGGGCTGTTTCAGGATGGGAGCCGGGAGCTGAGCCCTCAGAGGAAAGTTGTGAACACAGCCATTCAGAATGGTCAGACCCAGCCAGTGAGACCCTCGTGGGGAGCACTTCCCCAGGATACGCCTTTGGTGATGCCTTTGAACCCCAGAGCAGCTCAGAGAAACTGGTAGGACTCTTGGGGGATGTCTGGACAAAATCTGCCTCCCAAAAAGCAGACGTCAGGCAAACTCCAGGGCATCGGGAGGATGCCCCCGTGGACCAGTCCGGCTGTGAATCTGGTGCCTTCAGGAGCAGTCCCAGTGTGTGGCCAGATGGCACTTGGGAAGAGAAGACTCCTTCCGAGGAGAAATTTGGTCCATTGGATGGTCCTGAGACAGAGCCTCCACGCAGGCACACAGGGAGGACATCCTCCAAGTGCAGAGAATGTGGGAAAATGTTCCAGAGCACCTGGGCCCTGGAGCCACACGGAAAGAGCCATTCCCGGAACACGCCCTTCACCTGCAGTGACTGTGGCAAGGCCTTCAGCCGCAGCTCTGCGTTCCTGGTGCACCTGCGCGTCCACATTCAGTGCCGCGGTGACCCACCAGGCAGCACCCTTGGACTCAGCATGGAAGAGAAACCTTGAGTTCCACAGGAGCAAGGGAAAACGGGGCGGGTCATGATGGCTCCCCAGAGCGATGAGTTCCGAAGGGCAGATCTAGGACTATCCGGGAGCAACTCTGCATTCGAGGATCCAGATGGATGCAAAAGTATCCAGGTTCCAGAAGTATCCCACTGTCTTCCATTCACACTAAATCCATCTGAGAGAGCGGACAGGGGAGCTGAGGAGCTGGGTTTGTCATCAGAGCCAGGGCTGTCAGGTGGCACTTCTGTCAGGACTCCGTGGTCCCAGGATGGTCCTGGCTGGGTCTCCAGCTTCACGCTCCCTTTTCTCCACTGCTTAGCCCAGGTGAGATACTGCCCGTACCGCCTCTGTGCTTTTCCGCTGATTATTCACTTCACTGTCCAATTCTAAGGCCAGCTCACCAGGCTGCCTCTTCGTGAGGCGTTCTCCAGACACTGCATCTAATCCTCTCCTTCTCTGAGGATGCTGCCGACACTTGCCTGGAGGCATTTGTCTGCGAGTCCCCCTCTCCTTCCACAGCCCAGCAGCCACTGGCCCTTTTGGTTTTACCTGTACTCACCTGTACTTCATTTTCTTCTCCATCATCACTTTATGTGAGCCCTCATCGCCTGTCATGGATTCCAGCAGGGGGCCTTCCAGACCCCTTCCTGCTTTCTCCATACCGGCCTCCACGGCACTTTTTCCATACACTGATTCTGATCATGTTCACCATGGCAGAAAGCTCTCTAATGCCTCCCCTTGTACGGCAGAGCTTCCCGAATGGGTTCCAGGTTTGCCAAGAGGAGAGTCACTTTGGGCTCCAAACAACCTTGCCAGTTACCCTCACATATGTGTCTGAGTACGGTCATCTCTCTGCATGTGCCGAGATGTGAATGGTTTCAAAGGACTGTTGTCTGGGATGAACCTCAAGCTCCTGCACCTGTCTGTTCATGAGCATCTGTGACGTGGCCCCACTGGCCACATCGAGCTACTAGCAGTTCTTGAAGAAGCCATACTTTTGCCCACCGACATGCCTTTGTACCAGGACCCGGGACCCTCCTCTTTGCTTTCCTCCAAGATGTTTCAAATATCTTCTCCCTCCCCAGCAAATTGTCACCCATCTCCTCAGGCTGACTTCTGCCTTTATCACTCTCGGAGCTCCTGCAACTTACCCCTCCCAAATTTCCTCCCATGTGGTATTCACTCCTTGCAATGTGCAGGACCGTTTAGTCTCTGATCCATGAGATATTACTATAGGATGTGAGGACAGGCCCTGACTCACATCTCTGACACGCTCCCCCTGCAGTGCCCTTGTGTATGTTTTCTGGGCTGTCTCCCACCACGGTGGAGGAAGGGCTGTTTTCTTTATTATAACTTTCCTAGTGGAAATCTCATTGTGCTTGTGATTTTGACTTTGATTTTTTAAGGTTTTATTTATCTATTTTTAGAGAGGGAAAGGGAGGAGGAGAGGGAGAGAATCAATGTGTTGATTGCCTCTTTCATTCTCTCTACTGGGGACCTGACCCACAACCCTTTGGTTTGCAGGTTGACAATCCACTGAGCCACACCAACCAGGGCTTGGCTTTGATTTTTAAAATTCAACTTAAACAAAAAAAAAAGTTCACCCATTTATCCCACCTGTGGGGGTTCTGTAGAAGAGGCACACTTAAAACAAGGACATGGGAAAGCTGAGGATAAAAGGATACAAAAGGATGTATAAGGCAGGCATGAAGCTGAAGGATGCCAATACAGCTGCATTAATTCTAGACATTAGCAAGCCATGTCTTTCAATTTGTAGGACTGTGCACACAAACTAGATGGATATGGAGATCTTGGTTATGTCATGGTTACATTTGTCAAATTCCATCAAACAAGCCCTGGCTGGTGTAGCTCAGTGGATTGAGCGCGGGCCTGCGAACCAGACAATCGTGGTTCAATTCCCAATCAGGGCACATGCTGGGGTTGCAGGCCAGTTCCCAGCAGGGGACCCACGAGAGGCAACCATACATTGATATTTCTCTCCCTCTCTCTCTTCCCTTCTAAAGATAAATTAATTAATTAAATCTTTTTTAAAAAATTTCATCAAACACTTGAAAGGTATATACGTTATTGTATATAAATAAAATCTTAATAAAGTTGATTTTTACAGAATTGGTTTGTATCTGTTTAAATCATAGTAAATTCTTTGTATGTTAAAAATTATCAAATATCAGTAATTTCACATAGTTAAATATAATTAAGTTGCCAATATTTCATATTTTTTATCCACAAAGAAGTAATTTTCTATGATTTAAACTAATACAACCCTGGCTGATGTAGCTCAGTGAATTTAGTGCGGGCTGCAAACCAAAGGGTTGCTGGTTTGATTCCCGGTCAGGGCACATGCCTGGGTTGTGGGCCAGGTCCCCAGTTAGGGGTGTGTGAGAGGAAAACCATACATTGATGTAGAAAAAAATAATAAAAAGTAAACTAATACAAACCTATTGTTAGAAGATTATGTTTAGAGAGAGGAGAAGGTGGGGAGAAAGAGAGGGAGAGAAATATCAATGTGTGGTTGCCTTTTGCACACTCCCTACTGGAGACCTGGCCTGCAACCCAAGCATGTGCCCTGATTGAGAATCGAACCAGCAGTTTTTTGGTTCACAGGCCAGCACTCAATTCACTGACCTACACCAGCCAGGACTTCAAACTTATTTTTGACAGCCTAATATGAAGCTGTTACTGATGTTTGTTCCCCCCCAAATCAATAATATAAATTTCACTTGAAGAAAGTAGAAAAGAACAAAATAATTCAGAAGCAGGTAAAAGAAGGGAATAGTAATGACACAAGTAGAGAGCAAACAGAAAAGAGACCGTTTTTTTTTTTTTAATGAGCAAAGACAAGTTCATTTTTTGAAAAATTAATAAAATTTGATAAACCCCCAACTGGACTGGCAGAGAGGGGGAGAAAGTTTGGAGTAGGGTAGAACAAACATCAGGCAGGAAAGAGCTGACATTGTTACAGTCATTACAGTCATTCAAAGAATACAGGATGCGTAAATCATCCCTGGCTGGTTTGGCTCAGTGGACTGAGTGCCAGGCTGTAGATTGAAAGGTTATGGGTACGACTCCCAGTCAGGGCATATTTACAGGTCAGGTCCTCAGTTAGGGATGTGAGAGAGGCAACCAATCGATGTTTCCTTCCTTTCTGTTCTCTCTAAAAATAAAATCTTAAAAAAAAAAAAGACAGGAATATGTAAATCAGACCACACAAATGAAACAGGCAAATTCCTTGAAAACACAGTTTATCAAGTATATGTTTATCAACATATTCATGTTGACAACATGAATATACACCCACTATGTGCCAGTACCTGGAGGGCCAAACTCCAGGCAGGGACTGGGCAAGAATTCAGTAGGGTGAGTCCCCACTGCCCCACTAAGTTGGGCAGTGGGGACTCAGATCCAAGGGACAGCAGAGAACAGAGAGGAGTCCTGCCCCTCTCAAAGCTTTAAGCTTCCATGTGGGAGACCTGACCTTTGTGGCTGGAGGGACAGTCCAGCATCACTGCCTGGTAACCACTCACACTGGAGGGCGGAACCATAAAATGCAGCCTCCTGTGAACTGCCTCCCGGTGTGGGGACTGATCTGGGCAAGGCAGGTGGGGAGTTGGGTGTGTCTGGAGCCTCAAGCTACCTACCCACACTGGCTGGGGCCCTGCAGCCTGGGGTGGAAGAGAAAGGTCTTGAAAAAGGTGGGCCCTGGAGCCAGTCATCAGCCCCTCTACCCTGAGGACCCAGTCCGGGGCCTGTCCACCTTCAGGGCACAGGATCCCAGCCTACTTCCCTCTGTCCTGGGCACCCAGCCCCTGCAGCAGCAAAAGACAAAGTCTGTTTTCACGTTTATTAATTCCTAGGAAAAATTAGGGAGAGCCCTCTTGTTCCCCCACCCACTCCCCAGGGGAGTCCAGCCTCCAGCTGCAGCAGGAAGGATCCGTGCCATACTGAACCAGGATACTCTCAGTGGCCTTGGTCTGCAGTTGGATCAGTGTCCTAGAGAAATAATGACAAAAGAAGTGGCAGGGGAAGGAGGCACCCCGTGTGCAATCAGGGTGGGCCTCACTGAGGCCACACAGCAGAAAGCTGCCGGGCCTGCCCCCTGGTGCTCCAGTTGACCAAGCCACTCTGCCCCCCACCCCCGGGGAGGGGGCCGGGTTTGAGTGTTGTTTCCCTTCCTGCAATTCTGAGCAGTTTCGGAAGAGACTAGGCACACTCCCGACGTGCTGTGAACATGTGCAAGGAAGGGCACACTGGCAGAGGGCACGGTCTAGGCAAAGGCAGGGTGGGGAAGGGCAGCAGGGAAGAACCTAATGCTCAGACCCCCAGGGGAAAACCGCACCTGCCACCCGGAGCGCCACTGGATCGCTGAGGTCAGACACAAAGGGCCCGCTGGAGTAGCGGCACGTGTAGTTGCCAGCGTGTTGGGGCCCAACATAGGTCAGCACAAGGTCCTCTGAGTAACTTCTCGTAAGTACCACCTCTTTGCCTTCTTGCAGCAGCTCAAAGATGATGTGGGGCACACGGCTCAGGGGGCTCTTGCAGTGCAGGGTGGCGTCATGGCCTGGACTCACTGCTCCGCTCCACAGGGGCTGGAGCTTTGGCCTGGGGAGGGGTCCTGGGTGCAGCAGAGGGTCAGGCCAGTTACTCCCCCTCCCTCCTCTCGCTACAGCCCAGGCCTGCTGGTCTCTGTCATCCACACCTTTCTCCCCTTTCTTGGCCCCACATGGAGATGGCTGCCTCACACTCTGAATACTGCACTGTACTGGTTCACTGCAACTGTCTGTGTCCCTGCGTCACCCCATTCCCCAGGACCCTAGCAGTCCCCTAGACCTGGGCCCTGAACTGAGGCTTCCTGGAGTCCCCACATATGAGGGCCCGAGGTGAGAGGAAGAATCATAACCAACAGAAGTGATGTTCCCTACAGAGCCTGGCGTCCAGCGCAGCTCAAGGTTGGGAGGCGGGGCCTGTGTGCCAATGGCCTCTGCCAGGTGGAGCCCTGGATGAGGAAATCAGGGGAACAAATAGACCTCAGGGACTGAGAACACCCGGAGGATTGCACATTAACCCTCCTCCCATGGGGAAAGGGGCACAGGCAGGTGTAAGGCTAATAAGGCAACATGGGCCCTGGCTGGTGTAGCTCAGCCTGAGCATGGTCCTGTGAACCGAAAGGTTGCCGGCTGGATTCCCGGTCAGGGCACAGGCCTGGGGTGCGGACCAGGCGTCCAGTAGGGGGCGTGCAAGAGGCAGTCGCGCACTGATGCTTCTCTCTAGCTGTCTAAAAATAAATGAAATCTTTTTTAAAAAGATAACACGGGGAAACGGAGGCGCACGCGCTCACGTCCCAGGTAAACAAACCGAATACGAGGCGTCCCCAGGACTTCCGACGTTTTTTCCGTAAGGATTTCCACTCTACATTTCTGTAAGGAATCGTCTCTGCGCTCAGTACGGAGGCCCAGAGCGCGAGACTTTGGCACCAAGGAAGTGCGGGAACCTCACTACGCACCGGGATGAAGGAGATCCGGCCACTCACCGTCCACGCGCAGCTCCAGATGCTCACTGGGCGCAGAGCCCGCGAAGGGCGGCGCAGTGTCCGTGTAGATGCAGCTGTAATTGGCCCCATCCATCGGTGAGACGTCGTGCAGTTCGAAAACGGCCTCGTTGCCTGCTGGGCTCTGGAGACTGACCACTTGGCGCCTATTGTCGCCCTCGAGCACCAGGGCGAAACGCAGGCCGGCCTGGGGCGCTCGGCACCGCAGCTGCACCAGCGTGCCGGGTTCCGGGCGCAGAGTCGCTGGCTCTGCCGAAAGCTCAGGCGCAGGCAGCATCTCTGGGGGGAAACACGGGTGACTGAGGAGCTGGGATCCACCTGCCCGCTCCAGGACACCCGCCTGGACACTCCCTCCCCACCCCCCCGCAAAAAAAAAATTGCTCTCGTCTCCCACCCTCCTTGGATCTTCTGCACACTTCCTTGTTAGTTTCTTTGAACTCCAAGAATAGATGGGGCCAAGGGGTCATGGTGCCCACTGTGTCCACCTTCCACAGCTCCTCCCCATCTCCCCAGCAACTCCCGCTGCTGGCCAGTTTCCTCTCCTGGGTCGATGCTCCATGTCCGCGTCCTGAACAGGTCATGCGGCCCAAGCATGGCCACCTTCTACAAGCAAGTCTCCCCACCCACCTGCACCTGGAGGCTGGGGGTCCTCAGGTACTTGACATCTGCATGGCCTGCGCCACACTTGATTGTTGACCCAATTATTCTTCGTGTGGCCTCGAAGCTGCTGAGCTCAGTGTCTCATTCTCAGATGGGGAAACTGAGGCCACACGCATTAGTCGGGACTGGGCTGGATCCAGAGCCCTGCAGTCCCGGAGAACCTTCCCTGGCGTCTACCCGGCTCCCCAGGGACACGGCGCCAGGTTTACCGTTGCTCAGTAGCAGCTCCACGGGCTCACTGTCCTGGGACCAAGGCATGTCCTCCCCGCGCAGGTGGTAGCGGCAGGTGTAGAGGCCACCATCCCCCGGGGCCACTGAGTTCAGCTTAAAGACAGTGCGGTCCGGGTGGGTGCTCCATCTATCTAAGAGCAACGCCTCGTCTCCACGCCTCAGCTGGAATTCCATGCCGCTCTCCAGGGGCCCCACACAGACGAGGGAAGTTTCTCCGCCTCGGAGCAGGACTTCTGCAGATGTTCCTCCATAGAAACTCAGCCTGGGCGGTGGTGGTGTGGCTACAAGGAAGGGAGGGGAGCTGGGGCGGGGGAGTCTTAGATACCCTGTTCCCTGAGAAAGCCCAGCCTCCAGACCTGTTTCCCAGACCCCATGCTGCTCGCAGTATTCAAGGTTAGGGGTCAAGTTAAGGCAGCTCTATGCTCCAGGAACCTCCTCACCCAGGAAGCCCAGCCATTGGTCCACATACTCACCTAGCTCCTCGACAGTCACAGTGGCACTGGGTTCAGAGGGGGTGCCTGCCACGTGGGTCCGGTAGCTGCAACTGTAGTTGCCAGCCCGTTGGACTGGGAAGGTGGCCTCCATGTCCTGAGGGGCCTCGGCCACCTCCAGAAACTGGTCATCGCCTTTCCGCTGCAGCAGGAAGGTCACACCCCGAAGTCCCCCTCGGCACAACAGGGTCGTTTCCAGGCCCGGCGTGATCCAGGACACAGGCTTACTTGAGAGCAGGGGTGGAGGCAGAGTCTCTGCGGGTGGGGCAGGGTTGAGGGTTCTGCATGACTTAGGAGACACGGTGGCTCAGCAGGACCTGAACCAGCACATTCAAGAAAACGTGAGGGAGCCAGGGACATGGACAGGGACATAAAACAAGAGGAAGATGTGTTGTGGGCCCTACTGTGTGCCAGGCCTCCCCAAAGCACTTTCTAGGAACTGTCATTTATTTCTCACAATCTTCTGGGGTCAGTACAAAAATCATCCTCACTTAAAAAAAAAAAAAAAGACTTACTCGTTTCTAGAGAGAGGGGAAAGGAGGGAGAAAGAGAGGGACAGAAACATTAATCAGTTGCCTTCCCCGTGGCCCCAACCAGGAACCTGGCCTGCAACCCAGGCATGTGCCCTGACTGGAAGTCAAAGCAGTGGCCATTTGGTTTGCAGGCCAGCACTTAACCCAGTGAGCCACAACAGCCAGGGCTCACTCTCAGTTTATAGATGAGAAAACTGAGGCTCAGAGATGTCAGATGACTTGGCCAGAGTCACCTAGCCTCTCAGGCAGTCAGGGTGGGAGAGGAGGACAAGGAGAGTGAGGAGCGGAGGAAGGGAGGCCTCTCCAGCATGACCCCGTCTCACTGCTCACCTGCCCCAGTCACCTCCAGCAGGTTGCTCAGCTGGGTCCATTGACTGCCCATATCATAGCGGCAGCGGTAGAGACCCCGGGTGTCAGCTGTCACTGCTCCTAGCAGGAACCGGTGCTCCTTGGTGGCTACAGCAAGGTGCACGTGATCCTGGAGCACCCCATCCTTGAAGAGCTGGAAATCCGAGGTGAACAGGCAGGCCCGGCACGTCAATGTCATGTTAGCCCAGGGTTCCAGCAGCGATTCGGCCTCTGCCCACAGGTCTGGCTGGGTCTCCACAACTGCACGGGAGCCAGGGTCAAAGCCAGGCACCAGGATATAGGCACCCTGTGTGTGCACCCACCACCATCAGAGTGTGTGTGTGTGTGTGTGTGTGTGTGTACACCCACCGTCCCCCAGTCTTCAGGTCCCAAGTGCTCCCACCACCATGAGACCAGCCCGGAGCCACCAGCCCAGACCCAGCCCTGACTCACAGGTGGCTGCTTCTGTCTCCGGGCTCAGGGATAGACCTGCGGAGATGCGTCTGTGAGGCCCCCATCCCTGCCCCTTCCCACCCTCTCTCCCCAGAAGCCCCAGGCCCAGATGCCTTACCCCAGAGCAGCAGGAAGGTCACCAGCATGGCCATGGTGGTGAGCCTCGCTTGCTCCAATCCTGTGAGCATCCGAGGTTAAAAGACTCCAGCGAGGGCAGCAGTGGGCGGAAGAGGGCACTGACCTCTTCTGGCTGTTTATCCTTCCCCAAGGCCAGGCGGGGGCTGGGTGCTGTACAGGGTGTTGGCTTCAGGAACCGCAGCAATAAGTGTGCATAGAAATGAACTATCACAGACACAGACAACAGGGCGGTGATTGCTGTGGGGAGGGGCTGTAAGGGGACTAAATGGCAACGGAAAAAAATAAAGATTACATACCCTTTACAAAATGAATACAATTAAAAGTAAATAAAAGCGATCATTTAAAAAACTGATATAATAGCCCTGGCTGGTATGGCTCACTGGACTGAGCACCAGCCTGGGAACCGCGAAATTGTTGGTTTGATTCCTCGTCACATGCCTGGGTTGTGGGCCAGGTCCCCAGTGGGGGGCAGATGAGAGGCAACCACACATTGATGTTTCTCTCCCCACTTTTCTCCTTCCCTTCCCTTCTTTAAAAATAAATAAAACTTTAAAAAAATTTTGCCCTGGCTGGTGTAGCTTGGTGGATTGAGTGCAGGCCTGTGAACCAAACAACCGTGATTCGATTCCCAGTCAGGGCACATGCCTGGGTTGCAGGCCAGTTCCCAGCAGGGGACACAGGAGAGGCAACCATATATTGATGTTTCTCTCCCTCTCTCCTTCCCCTCTAAAGATAAATAAATAAAATCTATAAAAAAAAAGAAGAAAAGAAAACAAGGCCTTCAAAAATTGCTAGGTGAAAATAAAATATTAACTCAGCCTGCACACCAAGCAGAGTTTTCACATCAGAACCTTAAACTTTGAGTTGAAAACATTCGCCCCCAAGACATGGACTTTTCTCCAACCAGGTGTCTGTATTTTTTTAATCCTCACCCCAGAATATGTTGATTGATTTTAGAGAGAGAGGAGGGGAGGGAGTGAGGAAGGGATGAAGAGAGAGAGAGGTGGGGGGAGGGAAAGCAACATCAGTGTGAGAGAGAAACATCACTAGTTACTTCCCACAGCTGTCCTGACTGGGGATTGAACCTGCAACCTTTTGGTGCACAGGATGATGCTCCAACCAACTGAGCCACCCAGCCAGGGCCAGCCAGGTGTCTCTTAACCCATTCATCTCAAGAAGAAAATTCTTTGTGTGAAGTGCAAGTGTGAAGCTGAGCACAGCTGCCGGGAACAAGAGGCAGCATTGCTGGCATGAGGTCCGCGATGCCTTCCAGCGACCCGAGTCCCAGGGCACTGGATTACAGAAGGGAAGGGCAAGACTCTGGCAGGACGAGGAGCACAGGCACTGCTGCCCCAGTCTGTGTGACCAAGGAGCCCTTGGCTACCCACCCATGTTGGCCCACTGGCCACCCGCCACCCCCCACAGAGTCCAGGGACACTACCAGGCTGGGATCTGAGGTCTCCACACAGGGAAAGGTGACGTCTGATGTGGGGCCCTGTCCCCTCCTTCCTCCTTGTATAACTGTAACTCCAGGGTGAACTCCAGCCCCTCAGACAGGATGCTGAGCAACAGGAGGGCAAGTGCCCGAGGTTCTCTGCATCACCCCCACAGAGGCACCAGGGTTTCCACAATTATGCACCCTGGAGAACGCCACAGCAGGATCCAGATCCCTCTGTCAGGACACCAGGTCGTGGTGGTCCAGGTGTGAGGGACAATGCGACCTGGGCACCCGCCGTGATCCTGCCCCAGGGCTTCCAGTGAATTCAGGGTCATGGCTTCTGGCCTTGTGTCTTGGTTTGTGTAATAGCTGGCGGCCAGGTCAGCACCCAGCATGACCTTCTGAACCCCCAGAGATCTGGAGACCCAGGACCAACCAGGGTGGGAGAAAACGCCAGTGGCAGCCTTCCGAACCCAGGATGGCCAATCTCCGCTGACTCAGTGGAAAGACCAGAGGACAGGTGTCCTGGGCATCAGGTCACCCTCGACTGAGCAGGTCCCCTGAAGGAGGCTGTAGTCATTGAATGGTGCCCCCACTGCCAAAAGATGCATCCACACCCTAATGCCCAGAACTCATGCATGTGACCTTATTTGGGAAAAGTGTACTTGCAGATAAGGGTAATGATCTTAAGATGAGATCATTCCGAATGCCATGGGTGGGCCCTGAGTCTAATGACAGGATCCTTATAAGGAGGAAGCAGAGAGAGAAGAGGAAGAGGCCGAGGCCAAGAGTGGAGTGCAGCAGCCAAGAGCACCAGAAACTTGGACAGATGCACAGGACGGCTTCTGCCTTGGAGACTTCAGAGACCATTGCCCTGCCAACACCTTGATTCCAGCCTCCAGAACTGAGACAGCATCCATTTCTGTTGTTTTAAGCCACCCAGTTGGTAGTAGTTTGTTACAGCAGCCCCAGGAAACTGATACAGAGACAGTCCAACACCCTGGAAGGGATGAGTGGGTTGCCAGGGGGCCTCCTGACCTCCGGTGATATGGAGTCAGGTGCCTTGACTGAGAGGCAGGGAAGACTGGGTGGTCCCAGGAAGAAGCAGCTCGCACCTGACAGGAAGAGACCCTGGACTCACAGGAGATGGGGACCAAGGCTCCCCTGTTGACCATGTGCTCAGGCCTGGCATATCCCAGAGAACTGTCCCCAGATACTCACTCCCACAGTGGCTCCGGTGCCCATGTAGTGCAACAGAACCTGTCTCCCAGGACCAGGCACAGCAGACGGAAGCTGCAGAGAACGGCTGTGTCTCTTCCTGTCCTGACCTGCTGTGAAAAAGGGAGAATCATAAAGAAAGGAATTTCAACAAGAGCTGAAGGCAGCCAGCTCAGCGGGGGAGGTGGTCAGGGGTCACATATTTGCCTCTTCAGGCATGGACCTCCCCATCCTCACTACTGTCCTCTCTCGACTGTCTAGGGGCAGGGGAGGAGGGTCGCAATGCACCCACGACTGGCAGAACAGGGCAGGTGGTTAGGACATAGGTGAACACTTGACAGGGTGGTGGACAGTGACTGAGTTCGACTGCATTGGTTCAGCGCAAGATTCGTGGCTTTCCTGCCTGGGCCTCATTTTCTCTGTCAAGTCGGAATAACAGGGCAACAATTTTGGCCGGGGGGCGGGGGGTGTTTGAGCTGAGTTGGGGCTCTTTTTGTGGCCCCTGATCTCTAGTTAAAGCCCTATCTATCTATGGTGGCTCTGGGAGCTAAATTTTTCACATTCCTTTGGGTCTAAAGTTTAAGAATTTTGGCCAGGCCTGCCTTTCTCTCTCCGAATCCCCATTTCCCCGTCTGTAGAATGGGCAGGATGGACCTTTCTAGACTTGGCATGAGGACTAAATGAATCAATCTGTGTAACAGTGGTGGGGGTTTTTAAACATTTTTATTTATTGATTTTAGAGAGAGAAAGGAAGGGGGAGAGAGAGAGAGAGTCTATTTGTTGTTCCACTTACTTGTGCACCATTGGTTGTTTCTTACATGTGCCCTAACTAGGGATCAAACCTGCAACCTTGGCGGATCAGGACGATGCTCTAACCAACTAAACTACCCGACCAAGGCTCTAACAGTCTTGGCACAAAGGCTGGATGGTGCCTAGCAGGCCTCAGAAAACTGTGGCTTCTTTTAGCTAATTTATGAAATGAGTCGTTCATTCAGCAGACAATTATGGAACTCGAGTCTGGGCCAGGCTCCAGACGCCACCCAGCCGTCTTCAGAATTTGGAGCTCCCTAGCTGAGGCTCTAGTGAGTGCAGGGCTTTGTCCAAATCTTGATCTCCATACACAGCTGACAACGAGCCCTCGACAGACTTAGGACCAGAAGCTTGACGCAGCAGGTGGCCCAGGCCCGCAGCAGGTAGACTGCAGCCCATACCGGACCAGCTAAAGTCAGAGCCCGGGCCCCCTTACACTCCGGAACCAACAAACCAACCCCGCCAAGGTTCCATCCGGACCTGAACAGTCCCATCATTCCTTGCGTCTTCTTTCGGGCTTGTGGGAGCAGCGCGGAGGCTCGAGGGGAATGTAGTTCCTACCGCGGTCGGAACCGGACTCTAAACTAAGTCGTTTGCAGTGGAAAACCCCGCAGGAGAGGAACTGGAGAACTTATGAGCGTCGGCGTTACCATGGCAACCGTCAAGCCAATCCACTCTCCAGCTTTGGTGATGGGAGGAGTGGAAAAAAAAAAAAGGCTTCGTGATGAACTGCAGCCTTCCTGGGATTCGTCATTGCCTGGGATACGACTCACATCCTCCTGCCTTCCAGTCATTGGATGCTGGTGATTGGTAGGTTCTAAAAGAGGATGGGCCTTCTGGCCTGGTTCTCACGCTGTCAGCATGCGCTGGTGCAGAGCTGGGGAGTTGCCGGGGTCCAGCCCTGGAAGGTCTCAGGGTCCCCGAAGGATGGACGGCATAGGCGACGAATGAAGAGTCAGACAGCAGGTTGAATGCCGGAGAACAGCCAGCCTCTGTGGGTCTGACCGAACTCTCAGAGTTTGATTTAAGCTTTATTTTTATAGAGATTGTTACACAACATTAAAGGAGCAGGTGCATGGCATGAAGTTATGTTAAATAAAGGTTATTTTGACCAGGAGAGTCATTAATCAGATAATTAGAGCTAGCTGTATGAACAGAGCCTTTGTTGTCCTGCTTTTTTCTTATCTGTCTAATTCTATTCCTGTCCAAGGTAGAGGAGGGACTGTTACTCTAACAACTTTTAGATATTCATGGGCTACCTCATAAGGGGGGGACTTTGTTCTCTGGCCAAGAATTTATTTAATATAACTTCATTGGAATTATGCAGATCATTGACCCTGAAATGCAGGCGTCTAAAAATCCCACCACCTACTAATCGCAAAAACAAACATGTAAGGAGAGATAGACAGGAAATCCAGCCACAGTTGCCTCTGCTGTGCAGATGCATCTCATCCGTCCCGACTGTGTCAAGAACGGCTGCTGGTCGGCTCCCGACAGGGAGTACTGGATGGTCCCCCACCCCCGAAATTCTTAAGCTGTTTCTTTGGACTCCCAAAATCCTGAAGGTCAGCTTCTCCCATCTTCGCGATCTATAATTTTCTAAATTCCCGTCACTAGT